CACGATCTTTTTCAGAGTTTAAATATATAAAAAAAAAAACATTTCTTAAATGTCCAATTTAGCGCCTGTCAAGTTTATCTTTGATTAGCATCTAAAAGAAATTCTTAAAAAGCGAGGTAAGGAGGCTGTCTTTCAGATATTTATTACCAGCAAAGTAGCGATTGGACTTAGAAACAGGTGCCTTTATAATGAGTGACTTGCTTTTAAAGGGTGCAAATGTACGTGGGTGCAAATGTCCATGGGTGCAAATATCCATGGTTGAAAATGCCCATGGGTGCAAATGTTCATGGTGGCAATCTGTATGTGGGTGCTAAAATTTGCGGGTGCAGTTGTTCATGGGTGCAAATGTCCACAGGTGCAAATGTATGCAGGTGCAATTGTCCTGGGTGCAAAGATAATGGGACCCAATGATCATATTGTCTTCTCATATAGTTTTTTTTTTTGCAGTAATCAATAATTAGTCCAAAAATAGCTGTGAAAGACAGAGGTTAAACTTTTTTACCGGTACTTTCAAATAACAGGGTTGAAACATATAGAGCAGTTTAAGGGGCTAACTCGTGAAACCACCCCTAAAATGAGAACCAAAAATGTTGCAATTGTGAAATAGGATATGAAGAATTTTTCTGGGGTCAATGGTCGGGGAAACACCCATCACCACATCCAGTATCACAAAACTAAACACATATATAATGTCCAACTTTTAATTAAATAATAACACACCGAGAAAAACATAATAAACTGTAATAACGCCAACTTTACAGCTTGGACTTGTCGATAGATTGAAGGGGCAATACCTGAAAAAGGATGGCCAACTCAATCACGAGGAGTTAGAGCATAGGTATTAAGATGTTGAATTTCTTTAAGGAACATGACCTGGTTGGATGTACTGGCAATTCGTATTTCAAATTTATGTAAATCGATGTATCCAAAGAATACTGCGGTTCACTGTTTTATTCACGTCCTTTTTGCTGAGGTGCTGACCTTCGAGGTCCATATTGTGCTTCAATCAAATGATAGAAATTGCACGCCCTATCATCGGCATGACAAGGCGTCTCTTTCAATTTAAAATGATTTTATTAAAAATGGGATCACGATTTCAGAAAAGACCAAGAGAACGAAGAAATAATCACCAGCATGGCTCATCTACCAGGCACATCAGACATTTTCATTTAACTATTCAAATCTGTGATTTCAAAGACCAAACTGCAGTCCGGTATAGTTCAGTTCACAAGTGTGTATTTTGAAGCGGTTAGCAAGCAACCACTGATCACAATATTTAATTTGCGACTATTTTTGAAGGACTGGGATTTTCCGGTTCGGCAGTGCCTATCCAATAATATTACACCTTGGGTGAAGTGGCGAGCATGGTACTGGGTGACCTAAAACAGGAGTAATTATTTCACAGTTGGTAATTATGTCTACCAAAATGAACAAATTTATCAAATTTCGTTTACACTTGAACTTCTGTAGGCTATATGATTATACCCGGAAGTTTCAGCATTTCAGGACGCTTTGCACAAAAGTTATGTTTTCTCTAGAACGGTGGTTCCCAGCCGCTGGTCCTTGGCCGGTCCGCGAGAAATTTCGTTGTTTTTCTGCCGTCTCTATTTCTCTTCCGCCGTCATATTTCTGTTTGACAAGTGCGGTATTAATGGCCCGGTGACGTCTTGGCGCCGAGTAATCACACTTTTCGCTTTATCGCGAAATCTAAAGATCGGCACGTATTTTTTCTTATTCGGCATGCTTTCTCTTCTTAATATTACCATCCAAATAAAAGGTTATGAATATTTCTTTGTTTAAACCAGTGAACAGTCAAGAACAGTATAATATATATAATATTTCAGAGCCTTGATATCCAGCAAGATATGAACTTTTTGCTATTTTTTGCCGGTCCGCGAGTGCATTTTATTTAATTTTACCGGTCCGCTAGGGTAGAAAGGTTGGGAACCTCTGCAGTCTATACTCTACCAGGGCTTCCCAAACTTTTGAGCTCGCGGCCCCTTTTAATATATTAATATTTTCCGCGGCCTTGTTCGCGCTAAAGGTATTCGCACCATTACACTGAATAATTGAGTAACGTTAATCTAAATAAATACGTGCTTGTTTTTGTAATTGAGTAGGCCTATACTAAAATTTGAGAATTAGCTGTGTCAATAAAACATCAAAAATGCATATTTCGAGATGTTTTATTGACACAGCTAATTCTCAAATTTTAGTATAGGCCTACTCAATTACAAAAACAAGCACGTATTTATTTAGATTAACGTTACTCAATTATTCAGTGTAATGGTGCGAATACTTTTTGCTGCATAGCAAGTCCAGCCTTGGCTCAATGTTTGTTTATGCAGGCCTAAATGATGAATTACGATGTCTGGCCACCGACGGCATGGTCCCTTTCCGGAATTGTTCACTCTTATTGATCAAACTTAGCATAAAACAGCGGTTTGTGTGGCGCCAAATTATCATGGAAAAAACTCATGGCGCACCTACACGAAAAATATGCTGCCTGATAATGAAACACAATTTTGTCATCGTTAATATGTAGCCTACTTATCTTATCTCTGCCTGGTTTTTCTTCAAAATGTTAAAAAATCACTCATGTTCAGCAAATGAATAAACTGCAACCTACGAAATTGCAGCATGTAGGATACCCGACGTAACAGAGCATACACAACATAGAACAGTAAAATGAATTTGATTCGTATACACATTATTTGCAACAATGAGAAACAATAAAACATTTAGAATAAATAAAATATGTAACATATTTCGAGGCGCACTTAGCAAATCGCCTTCGGGAACCGCTAGCTTAACGATTATTAAAGCCGGCATTGTTATGCAATCACAAGCAAATCGGGTCTTACGATCAGAATATGCATTTTTATGCAAGCGCGATGATTCTACTGTGTTTTCCCGAAAATAAAACCAAGCCTGAATTTTAGAAATTATTTTAATATAAGCGCGCGCTCCGCTTTAAAAAAACTTAGTCGTTACTCGTTAGCGCAAATTTTTTGACCTAATTCCGTGGAAGTGCGTCGTTTCAATTTTGCTGGGACGTCGCAACATTTCATGATTCGTGAACCTTTCAAACAACCCAAATATATCTTCTACTTTTACAGAAAAATGGAAGATTATATCGATCTTACCTGTGATGGTGTTACAATAAAAAAGTTTAATTCTGAAAATTCGGTTTTTTGTAGATAAAGATTATTTTTCTTGGTTCAAAAAGCGTTGCGGACTCCTATCCCCTTTGCGATTTCAATTTTATATAAAGACTTTTCTACCAAGGCCCACTAAGTATGGTTTCCGTTGTCATGTTACTGTCGTTATGTTTTGTTTGTTCTATTATATGAAACTCATTGCGAAAACGAGTCTTTTATTGAAAGGTATCAATACGTATTTTCACGGGTAGTCGTAACTTGAGCATATTTTTGGAGGGCGTCACAATACAATGAAGTTCGAGAACCACTGAGTCCTAGTCGATAGCAAGAAATTTCTACTCAGGAAATTTCTACTCTTTCTACTTTTTAAATGGTTGATAATCTATATGTAGCAGTTATTTTAAATGAAGACGTGCTATTTATAAGTAATGGAAATCGGTAATTCATATTTGGCATAATAAAAAATCTCGTTATTCTTCATATCCCCCCAAAATAAGCCCTAGTGTTATTTTCGAAATAAAATTGAAGACACTGTCTTATTTACACAGTATGATGATGTGTTCATTAGGAATCGTGAAATTTTTGTTTCACTTTATTTTTAATAATTGTATTTCGAATCAAGAGTCTGGAAAAGTACAATAAATATAGTACTTTGTGTAAAACTGATGCTCTCTTTGCGGCCCATAAAATTCGTTTCGCGGCCCCTAGTTTGGGAAGCCCTGCGTTTAGTCTATAGGATATGTTCCAAATGACGTCCTCGGTGCAAGTGGGCACCTCATTCATTGGACCTGAAAATTCGATATGTGTAATACACGATGCAAATATAGTTTATGACTAGGCAATGCAAACGTATAACAAAGCCCCTCCGCCACAGTGAATGTAACAAGGCCATTACGATATATCTTGCTATCACGTTTATAAATGAGGCAAAATAAACGAAAAACTTCGAAAAGCAGTAAAAGACTATCGTAAACAGAGTTTCATAGAGATTCTTCCAGCTATGACCAGACCTGTTCCGTTTTTATGAGTTGCGAGGAGCCTATTTTCACGCAGAATAGATTTTCAATGAGGAATTGAGGGATTTTTAATGAGAATAGCATAACTGCCTGTGCTACTAATTGTATCGCGAAAACTTTACAAAATATTCCGATCAAAGATTTCCACGAAAATATTTCACTATTTCAGTCAGTCATGCTTTGAATAAATGCAGCTTTGAAAGGGTTATATTTCACGAGTAGACTCCAAAATGACACTCTTCAACTTATATATATAGACTTAAGATGGAAAGCTATACTTGAACAAAAAGCAATTTCCACTCCTATTTTATTTCATTGTCAATGTTTAGCACGCCCTCCCGTGGGATCATAGAACGTATGCAACAAACACTGATAATTATTGGAGTGGAATAGCCGCGTGTAAAAGTTGATTTGGTATTGTCACGAAAATTGACACACTTTTCCCGAATTAGTGCGTCTAAAAATAAAATAGCTACAATTATGAATAGTAAAAATCGTATGGAATAGAGTTACTACATTCCCGGCAATGTAATTGGAATTTACATATAGTATATATATAAGATACAATGTGACTGAGTAGTGTTGATATTTAAAAAGTAAAAATTTCCCAGAATAGACGTGACTTTTTTCTTGTTTAAAAACATACATATTCATTGATCATATTGGTGTGGTGGATGTCTGAAAGTGCACTTTATGCTTGAATTCGTGACGAGTTACTTTAATTTCCTGTCAGTAGGTTGAACTGCCAGCCTATGTTTCTAATCAATCACATGTTATGTCAAATTAACGCGTTTTTTTTATTCAAGGCAGTAGTCCTATTCGCGCTTATCGCAATAAAATCAATAAGGGTTAAGCTTTGATATTAATTTTTTTTGGCTGTTCCAAAAGTGTATGACATTCAACGACGAAATTGGAGTATTACCTTACATGAACTTTGAAGAGAAACATCTACATTTACTGTAAAGAAACATGAAGTAGAATGTATTTGAGGAAACCCTACAAACTTATACTTGGATTACCTTGGCTTTGGATAATAGTTTTCAACGGATATTTCACGATACAGGCTGGTAAGTATTTTGTTTGTGCCTTTGCCAAATAAAACATATTATGAGAGTAATTTTGGAATCCAGAAATAGCATCTAATAACAAATTTCAATAGTTTCTGGTTTTTAATCGAATAAATAATATTATAATTAATGTAGTACCATTTCTCTAAAAATATTTTTTTTAAATGATACTTCATGCTTTGGAATTTGGATAATGATACTCCCGTAATATGTGTACCATGTTGAGGTTAGGCAATAATTTTATTCCGATTTTCCTTATTTTAGTTTCATTACGAGTTCGAGTACTTTCTGTGTTAGCCAAGCGAATACACCCCCTGTCCATAGGTTTCAGTCCCTTTACACAACTTGATGTAAAGAGGCAAACAAAATTAGTTGCCTCAATATTGTTACACATACTTTTCTGGAGCGCCTGGATAATTAATTATTCCGTCGAGATAGGCATTTAATAATCTTAACAGTTTGTTTATAACATTCTTTAATTGGCATGAAAAAAACTGTCTTACGATTTTATGTTACAGAAACCAAAGAATGCAACTTCGATGAATTGTGTGCATATGGTAATGTTTCAAAAGAAGTTTGTATAAGCAGAGGCTGCTGTTTTGCTGAAAAAGAAGACGTAATATCAACTTGCTTCCAGAATTTAAAACATTTGCCATACCACGGTAAAGGGAATTAAAACATCTGGTATCTCTTTCGTTTATTTTCAACAATATACCGATAATTGATCCCATTTTATATGATTTTAGTCACGATTGCAATACCTCAAGATAAACTACGTGTGCTTAGTTTTGTCAACGTCGGGAACTTAAGTAAACAATCTTTCCGTTGAGGTCAGAAATAAAGATTGCAAATTTATATAACTTTACTATTCTTCTGCTTATAGCTACAATACCAACAACAACAACAACAAAATACAAGATAGAAAAATTTGGAGAAATAATACCTGATGACGGAGTAAAACTTCCATACAACCTCGAAAAGACTATGGTGAACTTGACGAATTTGACAAAACGTAGTGCCATTGAAGCAATCAATGAGGTAAGAAAACATAAAGATTAAAGAAGCAGAAATCTGATCAGCAAAATCTTTGATTTTATCATCACCCCACCTATGTTCAGCAAGTCGCCTTTTTGTTGGGCAGATGAAACAATTTTGAGAGAAAAATCAATTATGTAAAATGCATAAAAATACTAAATGAATATTCTTAATTAATTCTCTAAATGAAAATAACTTTTTATTTCCAGCTTGAGAGATATTTCCGAGAAAAATCAATAGAAGAAAATAGCAATGTAGACTGGGATCATGAAATTACAAATGTATTTAATACACTTGTTAAGGTAACTGAATAAGACCGAGCAAATCAGATTGGGAAACATTAGATATTTATTAATTTCTCAAAACGTAAAAAAGTTTTTAAAATGCTTTGTTACGTAATATTTGCTCGTTATACTCGTTGTATATATTTGTTATCCCTGCCTGGTAGTGGATTCAATTTCGAATTCACGACAGTTTCTTTTTTAACAGGTAAATCCGAATTCCATTTTTGAGGTGATAAAGTTTGCAAGCGGAACTGAAATTCAGCTAAAACAGCACTGGGGAACACTCGAAAATGGCACTGTTCGAAATATATCTAAAGCAATATTTGCTGAATATCCTACTTTAATATCCGTTTTCAGAAAAGAGCAAGGTCCAAGGTGGGTATACTTTTTATTTGATGATCAGCAAATAGGACGAATTGATGGAAGATAAAAACTAAAACGCCTCACGTTTCGAACGTATTTTAGTCGTGTACTGACGCAATGCGTGAATCCAAAAACTATTTTTTGCACAAATGCAAGTGAGCTGTGGAAACTGGGAAAACGTATCGCCAAGGTTTACTTTGAACCGATGAATCATATTTGTTAAAACCAAAAGAATTGCAAACTTGAATTTTGTGGAAAAATATACTCATTATCAATCCAACACTATGCCTTATATAGACAAAATTAACTTTGATTTTTATAAGTTGCCGTAATGTTGTAGCAATGTTCTTAACCCTTTTTCATTTAAGATCAGATGAATGCAGAATAACAGAGAAATATATGGACGATTCGCCGGTGATTTCCATCAATACGTATGACGAAGATTGGAACAAATTGTCTGTTCCTGTTGTTTATACTGTAAAAAACTTGAACACTACAACACCTTTTCTACCAGAGGATATGTCCGCAGAGTATGTAGACTATTTTAGAACTTTGGACTGTTATAGCACACATGATACAGTATGTTTGTATAAGTCATTTTCTTTAAAGGCGTTTGGTCGAAACTGCAATTATTTGTGCTTAGTATAAATAATGATCAGCATCTATTTGCTATTTTTAGTCTCTCTTGCACATATTTGGATGAACTTGTTCGAAAATGGAATCTTTCGGGTTGTGCTGTCACATCTGTAAACAACAGTGAAATGACATGCTCATGTAATCATACTACAAAATTTTCAATGCTTTTTGTTATAAATGTCATAGAACTCAACATAACACGACATCACATGGACTATATTCAGGTAACAGATCAGATCGAAAGATTTTGTCTTCACTAAATAGACAAAAGTATTTTACAACAATTCCAATTATTAGTCAAATAAAACATCATTATCATTTGAAATGTTTGGATGTACGGTCCACGATATATGAGAAATTGAGCCTTGGCTAAGCCTGAATATCTAGTACCGTTTAGTATATATTGGAAGACACTAATGTAACGTAACCTTTAATTTTGTTGCAGTCATTGGAATACATCATGGAAAGCCTATCGTTAGCGTGTCTCATCGCCACATTTGGTGTTCTATGGTTGGTGCAAAGGAGGAGATCAAAAGCATCATCTGTATCAAGTATGCGATCCGTTGAACGGACAACAGTACACGCGAATTTTGTTGCTGCCTTGGCGTTTTTGCATCTTGTGCGCTTGTTGAGCGAACTGGCACAACAAGAAGATATGGCATGCAGAGTTGTTGCAGTGTTAAGGTGACATTGAAATATAATATATATTGTAGTTGGGGCACTTAAACTTTGGTAATAAGCACTCATTAAAACGGATTATTAGCTACTAATTTCCAATAGCTTATATAATGACATGAACGTTTTGTTTACTGCTGTCAATATTTCCACTCAATTTCAAAAGTATTTCTCATTTATAATGTATTATTTACAGAACTTATTGCATCTTTTATTCGTACTTTTGTTGAAAATGTAATGAATAATGAAACCATGCTTGAGCGTGTGGGTTTCTAAGTTGGTTTTGAGCACTATGTATTTTATTTCAAATCATTCGTCCAGTTAAAAGATTTGGAATGCTTTGGTGGAATATGACTTAAAAATTAGTTTGGCAATTTTTAGTAGATCGATAGCATAATTTATATGTCAAAACTTCAAAAATGATAAAGGCGATACCATGGTTTCGCCATAAGGTAATAGTTCACAAATACAAGGTGTTTCAGACGTAATAACGTGTTCCAATTACATCATTCAGCCACTACTTCATGTTAGCAAGTGGGATGTGGATGTTGATAGAAGGAATGCTACTTTATTTAAATGTAATTATACGAAGTATGAAGAATACGGCACTCGGAGTTCATAAATACTGGACAGGATGGGGAATTCCTGCTGTAATTGTGTTTATATCTGCGAGTAAGTGCCGCCGTGATATTAATACATTACTGGATAGCACGTATGAACAAATGTCAACATAACATATCTTGCCCGAGAAAACATAATATAAATACGTTTTTATGATTCATTTGTAAAAATACTATTTCTATAGCATAGGTTCCAGTCTTATGTAGTCAGTATTGATTATCAGACACGTACTGCCAATGTTCTAGACGCTGCAGTAATGTTACTATAAATAGACGTTTTTCCATGTGCTTTTAAATAATTGTTGTTGCATGTTGAAATCATTATGATGTCAGTTCTGCCATGTAATAAACAGTGCAGTTTGGGGTGGTATGACCAACAAACTCGTATCATACATTCGTGTCGACAAAAAATTATGATATGTCGGGTATCATCATATTTTTTTCAAACTTTGGATTATTCTGGTAGCGTTGATAAAGTTCATAGACAAATCGTATTAAAGATAACATTAATTTTTTCTAAACATTCTTATCTATGCTTTTCAGTGATTGGCTTTCTTCAAAACATTTACCTCGACAGACCCGTGGTTGAAACTTGTCAGGAAGAAGAGGGCGTAGAAAAAACGCCATTATTCGTGAGTTTCTTATCGGATAGGCCTATAGCATTTCCAACTCTACTACATTAGGCGCGAAATCATTCATCCTCGGAATTTCAGAGACCAACTCCCCTTTTTGCAAAAAAGGCATCGACGGCATCAACGGTTTCTGTCACAATTATTAATGTCAATAAGCCTATGTTATACACAATAAATATGATCCAAATATTTATCAGTTGGGCTAATGACATTTGTTAAGCAGTATACAGTACGAACTCGGTTCATCACTGTATAAACACAAAGCTAACTGGGCAGCACAGCAGTTTGCGACAAAGTCAAGCGTATGCACGCGTAACGTCACACTTCAATAATTGCGTCACAAACGCGTTATGGTAACCAAGTCTATGGAATCATACTACAACAGTTTCCAATACTCGAATCATAGCATTAATGCTAGGCTTGCTAGCCCCTAATAACACCCCCATATTTAAATCAAATAATTCTCTTGTTGTCAGAACCTTTGAATAAATCAGATACTTTGAAGGTAACTTAACAATGAAAGATAAAAGCAAGCAACGCTAATTCAATTCTCATTTTTTCAGACGAAGACTTATCAATCGTATTGTTGGCTGAATAAGAAAGACGGGATGATTTGGGCAGCAACTGGGCCTCTCATATTTATATTTTCAGTTAATATTTTCATACTCGCTCACACAGTTATATTTGTTTGGAGATTAAATCGAAAAACTGATACAATGATGCCTTCGGACAGCAATCGGGATAGCAAACATTTTTGGTGAGTTTCTACCAACGATGTTTTGCCCACTCTGCATGGTGCGATGACTAAATCTTTATCATCAAAAGAGAGAACAGAACACATTGTAAAATGACATAATACTATGCAAAGGGAAGTCATATTTTAACGATGGAAAATAATCATTTTAATGAACCTATTTCAGGAAAACAGCAAAAAGCATCTTGGTACTCTTCCCCATATTAGGAGCACCGTGGCTTATTGGATTTCTCATCAACACTGAACAAACGTTACTCAATGTGATTTTTCAATACATACATGTCATTTTAAACGGATTGCAAGGATTCTTTATTTTTCTTCTCTACTGTGTTGTAAACAGAGAGGTAAGTTGTATTCAGAGTTTTAAAGGTATCTTGTACAATTAATTTAGAAACGGGATGTATCAACATCTATAAAAATACCATGCTTGTGTCAGCCTGGTTATTACGCAGTTTATTTCTTACTTGCAGAGTATATTTCAAAAAAAAAAATTTTTATAAATTTTATAAGTACAGTTCGAAATAGTAATATTTTTAGAATAAAGTACTATTGAGTAAAGTAACTATAATGTAACTCGTATTGTGTAGAAAATCCACTGCAGTAACTTATCTATGGTGATCATTTTATTACAATATCTTGTCGTTTTGTTGTCACAACTGGAAACAATATAGCTTCGTGTGTTTTACATTTTCTTGATTTTGACGTGAATTTATTTCGAAGTGGAAGTCTTTTTGCGTCAACAAATCTTCCTCATTTTTCAGTCTCGGGGAATTGTTACAAGAGTTGCAAGTAATCGATGGGAACAACATAAAGTGAGTATATCTGCGTCAAACACACTCGCAAGATCAACCTCTGGAGGGAGTAGAAGAACTCGTGGACATCGTAAAAGTATTAGTAGTCAAATGGGTGCAAGTGAGCTAAACGCTACAGGAACTCCCGTGTACACAAGGAGACCGAGGTTTGAGTTATATATATATATATATATAGTAACGTGCAAGAAATTTCTTTAGCAGATACACTGGAACAAATATGTCTGTTATGTCCAAATCAGACAATTTGCGTTTATCGCACAAAGTGTGCAACGTACGAAAGTGTACATTGATTTATTTTAAGCTGATATGGTAGATTGTGAACGCTCGAAAACACATTCTGTCGCACCCGTTACTCTTTAAATTTTCTCCTTGTGCCTACCGTATTTTCGTATACCTTTTGTACTGCCGTCAACAGTACACTATATTTATGACCCGCTGTGAGGTCATGTGTTCAACAAAGTCTCATATACTAAACGTTTGAGTACATTTTACTACGGCTTTTTGCTCTCAATAGCTTCGAGGAATCCAAACAACTTATAAACGAGAATAGCGGTCAGAGACTGAAGACTTATCGATCGAAAGTTAGGGGATCCCCCAAAACAGCGCTCCTACTCCACTTGTGTCCCATCACTAATTAATCAATAACTCGCTAATTATACGGCATAATTCGCCCATTACCGATTAAAATCGATAAGTAATAAAATAGCTGATTCGGAATTAATCTATATATTGCACTATAGTACTCCAATCAAACATACTTTTGTCTGGGTGTCATTAATCTAAAAACGGATTGCACAATATATATATATAAATTCTATGTCAATTATGCGCTTCTCAATAAATATATATATTATATAAGCTTATTATTTAACGATTCTCATTACAGTAACGTTAGAAGCATTGGAAGTGCAGCTAGTCAGTATTCAATTTACACGTCATCGATGAATAGAAAACAAAGCTCCGGTTCTGGATCAACATCATTAAGCGGATGCGCTCATAGAATCAACAGGTTTGCTTTAAAACGCACAGTATGATATTATTAATTATTTAGCCTCAAGGAAGGAACAATTTTGTTATGTGACATATATATTTAATTCACTTACTGACGCAAATTCATTTCAGAATTATCCCAACGGGGCCCAATGACATGATACGGCATACGTCCGGGTACTATATGAAAGCTGGCTGTAGTGCAAGTTTGCCCAGATTGGGAAAAATTGAAAGATATTCGAGACTTGTTAGAAGCGGAAGTGTTTCTTCAATCAATATGCTGGGTCGACAATCTATATACACATCTGGGCGATATGCTGTTTATCGGCAAGATCCTGAACTTGCCACAAAGTAAGTATTTAGAATAGTAAAACACATTTTAATAATCTCGAATCAATCAATCTGTAATTAATAATTGTTTTTTTTGTTCTTTTCAAAGCTACATCTGCAAAGCTTGTAAAGATATGCCTTGTGTACATGCTGCATCAGACGTTGCCGGATTGCAAGAAGTTCAAGATTCCGGAACTGACGCGGTTTTGGTTGGATATAAAAGAACATCAAGTTTGGATAGTTTACATGCAATGGATGCTTATCAGCCAAACAGGTGGCCACGTCGAATGACGGCGGAAGAATTTAAGCGGTTTTCTGCAATTCCAGAAGAAAAACGAAGAAGTGGGATCAATTCATTCATTCAAGGAGATAGCACTGAACACTTGTCTAATAGAATTTCCATGCTTTCATCGTTCAAAGGTGAAGATATTGAAATGAAGGAAATGCACAAAACAAAAGTAGAAGTTGTTGTGGAAGAAGTTCCCCCAGGCGACCAAGTTAATAACGAATATTACATAAAAAAGGATGCTCTACACTCACCAAATTCGAACTCAGAAACTCTTGTAACGGTGCCAGTAATTAATGCCACATCCACTGATATTCAAAATAAAAATATTAACATGATTGATGATGAGTTAGGTAAACAGCAACTAAATATAGAGTCAAAAGTAGAAGAAAATCAACAACCTTCAAGTATTCTATGCGAAGATGAAATAAAAACTGAAGCCGTCTACAATGAAACTGAATTGGGTCCATTAGAACGATTGCGCAGAGAGGAATTGAAGTTAACTGATTGAGTTTTTAAATATTGTACTTGGTGTTTCCATTTTATTTTATTCTGGATTTTTATAAACATTGGAGCACTTTATTATTTTTATACGTGATCATTCATTACACGAAAGCGTTAATCACAACACAACTTTCTGACTTTTGCAAATGAATAGAAAATGTCAGCAGTATCCTACTAACATGTTTCTGCGTCTACATAATATGAAACTCACGAAATACACAACGTTAAAATTAAGTTTCGAAACGCTACGTTCAAAATAAGCCCAGAAGCAGTTATTGCGCAGCATGGTTCCAAGTATATTAAACTTAAAATAACTCAAAAATGTTCTGGGTTACTCAGATTAATATGACGAAACTTTTTCGCCCGAGAATATTTAACCCGACTCTTCTGTCTCTGATGGATAAATTCAAAATCGAGTTATAAATTGTGATCGATTCAATTTTAGCGTCGGTCACAGTGGCGGCGCGTCAATAGGGCCAACCGGGGCAATGTCCCGGTTGTTTTTTCGGTATAATAAAAAATATTCGAAAAATACCTCAATATCGGTTGCACAGACTGTCTACACTAGCCATATTCTCCCGACATGGTTCATTTTTCGCTCGCAAAGCCTTCGCCGAACGTCGACGGGGCGACGCCGATTTTGCCCCGGTTGCTCATTGTATATCGTATTCTCTCTTTTATCTTCCACTCGCCGCGTTTGTCTCGTTTGTTTTCTGTTTCTTTTACTAAATCATCGGGGCCGATCGGGGGCTAGCCCCGAAATTATGACGACACAATGCCGACGTTTCTTACAACAACGTGTTGACATATTCACGCATTCCTTCTCGTTCGTTGGTTGCTTGAAGAGTTGATAGTTTCCTCGCCTTCGTTTTTGTCGCTTGTTTCGCTATTTGAATCAGTTAGAGACCTTTAGTCCATTTGCTTTCGATTTTCCACATTCCTTTTGAGCTCCTCACTTCTTTCCGGCTTCGCATTTCTTAGCCTTAGACCTCATAATGAATAAGGTTGATGCACTACTTCGCACTCCGTTTTCGCAGCTGCCGCTGGAACAAAAATTAGAGGTACAACGTCTTGGGCCTTATCAACCAAAAAATTGTTCACTGGAACAATCCCATGACGGAGGAAAGCGTCGGCGTACATTCTGCGCAGAAACTTGGTATAAAAAACACGAATGGTTGTGTTACAGCGAGGACAAAAATGCACTTTTTTGTTTTTATTGCCTACTTTTTGCTACCGCCCGTGACTCACGTTGGTGTAAATTTGGTTTTAGAGATCTTAAACATCTTTCCGAGCGTGCCAGGGATCATCAATCTTCTATGGAGCATCTGGACAATGCAGTAAAATACCGAACATTCGGAAATGTTAATATTGCAGCACAGTTGGATGAAGGACGCGCGGTTTCTATTCGTCGGCACAACCAAAACGTCGAGAAAAACCGCCATGTTCTCGGTCGATTGATAGATGTTTTGAAGTTCATTGGTTGTCACGAGCTGTCCCTCCGTGGGCACGATGAACGGGCTGGCTCTTCTAATAGAGGGGTATTTTTGGATATGGTGGAATACACCGCATCCCTAGATACAGTATTGAGAGATCATCTTGATGCCGCAACTGTTTCGAAAGGGACATCTAAGGATATCCAAAATGATTTGCTCGACTCAATGTATAAAATTTATTTACAACATTTGGCTCTGGAAATTGAGAATTGCCAGTTCCTTTCGATTCAGTCTGACGAGACAACTGACATCACGTGCGTTTCCCAACTGGCTGTGATTTTTCGGTTTGTGAAAGATGGTAAACCTACCGAGAGATTTCACAGCTTTGTACCAATCGTTGATCGCACGGCTTGCGGGATATCGGCTGTACTGAAAGAAGTGTTACAGCCTTACAACGCGAAGTCAAAATTGATAGCTCAAACTTATGACGGCGCGGCAGTCATGAGTGGGTCGAAACATGGTGTTCAAGTTTATATAAAAGAAGATTTTCCTCATGCGCATTTTTTACATTGTTATGCACACCAATTTAACCTCGTTATTAAAAATATGTGTCTTGATACCCCTCTCGTCCGTATATTTTTTGCAAATGTTTCGGGGTTTTCTTCATTTTTTTCCGTTTCGCCGAAGCGCTCTGACCTCCTTCGCCAGATATGTAGCCGCCGTCTCCCAGCTTGTGCACCAACACGTTGGAACTTCCAATCACGCGTGGTGCAGGGCGTGTCCGAAATTAGGTCTGAGCTCATTGAGTGTTTCAATGGCATTCAGAGCTCTCCGGTTTGGGACGAACGCTCTGTGAGGGAGGCGGCAGGTCTAAAGCGTCTGCTAGAAGATGGTGAGTTTTCATTTTTTCTCGCTTTTTTCTCCACAATATTCTATCACGTGGATGTATTATACGGCGCATTGCAGTCAAGGCTAATGGATGGAGCGTCTGTGCAGTCGTGTATTTCAGACTTCTGCGATGCTGTATCTCGTATCCGGGAAACAATAAAATACGACGACACATGGAGTGCTTCTTTACGCCGCGGGCAAACAACGCAGCGTTTGATTTTGTCTGCAAAGGAATGCTGTGACATTCTGGTGAATCAAATAGGCGATCGTCTGCGCACTGAACACCTTGCCGCGTTCTCTTTGATGAACCCCAAAAATTTTTCAAAATTTGCACGTCAATTTCCCATCCATTTGTTGGCTACTGTCTCCAAATTTTACCCCATGATAAACGTGGGTAAATTGGAAAATGAATTGCGATGTATATACACCAATCAAACTTTTTTGAACATCACATCAACTTGCGCGCTCTATGGGTTCCTCATAGATAACACTCTAGTAACTACCTTTGCGGCGTCTGCAAAATTTCTGGACATCATTTTGACGACGCCTATTTCTTCCGCCGACGCAGAGCGAACATTCAGCACGCTGAAGCGTATTAAAACGTATCTCAGAAACACAATGAAGCAAGATAGATTAAATTCCTTGGCTGTTTTATCCATTCACAGAGACGTTATTTCTGGGATGCATGACTTTAATCAGCGCGTTATTGAGCATTTTGCTTCCAAGAAACCGCGGCGTGTTGCATATATGTTCAAGCAGTAGAAGTCTAGCAGCATATATATCTATGAGTGAGCGACGCATGTCCTTATCTTTGCATTACCTTTCCTTTCTTCATAGTAACGTTTTAAACCTTATTTTAGGTTTTGTCTGCTTTCCCGAAGTTTCTGTTAATATGTCATTGTATTTATCTGGGTAAATATTGCCTTTCCTTTTGAAAGAGGTTTCAAAATAAACTATGTCTATATTTATTAATCCCTTGACTTGGACCGGTTTTAAAGACACTTTCTTATCGTTAAAAATTGTCGCTTTTGCCGATTGGTTGTTACCGATGGAATGGTTTTTATACTCATAAAATGATGGGAGAACTTACAGCGCTCCTCCTGTCCCCGTAGATGGGGGTGACTTGGTCCCGCAGTAGCTTGCCCCGGTTGTCAAAATGACCACGCGCCGCCACTGACTCGGTCATCTATGGTTTATGGCAGACTCTTAAACTAACAGGTGTCCGATTTAAAATTTTGTGTTCAAAGTTTATTACCTAGAATTTGAACTCTTCTGACACCCGCTGCAAGAATAAATTCATTTCTTCACTTGAGTTATATCGTAAATATATACTGTTATATATTGCTGCTTACTCTGTTTAGATTCAACAAATTTCTATTTTAACAAAAATGCCTATGGTATATATGTGTTATCTCGATCGTCAAACCAACAATCTCCTCATTATATAACTTCTGCAGCTCCTCGTTAATCCTCTAACAACAGGTCACGTTCTCAATAAAGTAACTTCTAATTGTTGGAGAGCCGATTGCAACAAATCGTAAACAAATCGGAGCATTGCGACGCGTACTGACATGTAATCCACGTTTCACAACCAAAGGATAAGATTTCATTTTTATCCCGGGGACAACTCAAATCATTTCATTTCAATCACTCTTTTAATTTTTTTGCCATTGAGCATTAAATGTTTTGAGAAACTCGAATTTTTATGTCTGCTTGGATGGGAAAATACAAATTTGGTCTCATTGGCATTAGGAAATAATTTTTTAACCAACATCAGCTATGAACGTAGGTCAATTCTCTGTTTGCAACTGTGAATAGTTTTTCCCAGAGAGGATCAGATCAGTGTCATCACCGAACATAATCGATTCAGAAGAGTCTGCTCGTTTTATCTTGCATTTTACCCATCAAGTTTATGCATCTGAAATAAATAACTGGTTAACTGACGAGAGTCCTTGGTTTGCCATATGTTTAAACTGTCTTATCACTTTCCTCTCCCCTGGGATAAATATTTAAACTTTGTATTATCTGAGTCTAGGGATATGGGCATGTCATTCACTGCTCGGTTCAACGGAACTACAACTGCAATGAAGAAATACAAACACCTGCTGCTGCTATTGTATATCAACTTTTTTTTCTACTAATTGAATCAAAATCAACAAAACCTATAATTGCAATTGTGGGAATAATTAACGCCGTTTTTCATTAGTTTTTCACGAATTGGGCCAATTTGGTGTAGTTTTGTAGTTACATAGTAACTAATTGGCTACATGTTCATGACCATATTTCGCGTATGATATTCTTTATTTCTAATGATGTAAATTGGCCCTAAAACATGAATAGGAATTTTTTCCCCAAGATACGAGAGATTGCTTTTGTCACAGCTACCGTAGATGGTTGTGGCATATTGTCAAGCAAGCTTTGTGTCATCTGGGAAAAGTGTTCATTGAATTTATTTGCAGTTTTTGTGTTACTGCATTCGGGTCCGATTGAAGAACGGGAATTGGTCTTATTTTTACCAATTAGTTCATTCTGGCAGGATGAAAATAATATCCGAATTTGAATCTGACAAAACGGCGTTTAGACTTTAGCTAAGTCGTAAAAAGGTTTTTACTTACTTTAGACTCATGTCACCGCCTTGTTACTTTGAAAGACTTTCGCGCCTCTTTCTATTTTAACAAACTTCTAATACAGACAATTTAGATTTTAGTCTCAACACATTCTGACTTTGGCAGTATGCCGGACGAGATTATATAATATCTGTTGGCGTGCAAGGCCATGCATAGACCGACATTGCTACAAATTAAGTAATGGAATGTACTGTACTATACTTTCAGGTTACAGTAAATATTTACCCTGTGCCCTGTGTACCAGAATGGAGGAAAGCCGATCTTTACATTTGTTTATTTGAATTGTGCAATTACAGAATTTTCCTCGTAGCCTATAGCTCAATTATCCAGTACGGCATAGTTCAATAGTTTTCTATTTCTAAAAATAGATATTCTCCCTGAAAAGACAACAACTGAAACTGTGATTGCAAACTCCTCCTTTATGCACATTTAACTGTTATGAGACAGTCTGAGCCCCCATATTGCCAGAAAGCGCCATCTTTCATCCCAGAAAATAATCAAGAGTTTTCAGCAAATAAACACAATTTTGGTTACCGGTATATGAACGTTGCAGTTATCGGTACCGTACTTAAACATGGCATGATTATGATCTGCTGCCGTGCCGATATCCTCATTTTAGAGACAAATGAAGTTGTTTTATTGAGCCTAACGCCAGGATACCGGTATCCTGGAATAGGAGAACTTTGCTCTAGGCTACTGATGCGATTACAGGATTAGCCTACTTGATTTAGCAGACAAACATGTAGTTTGACTATTCTGTATTCATATGTCAATGATTTTACGAAAGTTGTCAAACGTTTTACAGTTCTAGGTGAAAGCTGAAAAAATAACCATCATATTAACGTCATTAATTTTTGTCATGTTTCTCGCTATATAGTTTGGGCGGCTAACTTTTTAAATCAATTCAATTATGTTTAAACTACTGTTTGGCTGTTGTATTGGCTGATGTTTTCTAAAAGGATCAATCTTTAAAGTGCGAGACGTAGTCATGACATCACAAAAAGACTTTAAGAATGCTCTGACATCTCTGGAACGCACTGATTTGAAAAAAAGTGCCATAGAAAATAAAAAATTCATAAAAACTATTCATAGTCATGCAAATTCAGTGGGCCTGTCTCAGGAATCTATCATTCGAGTGGTGAGGCTAGGTACATGTGGAAGATTCAACCAAGCTTTGGCAAACACCTTGATTCAATCTCTCATTCCGAAGGAAAGTATTCCAGAAGAAGCTGTAATTTATGGGATTTCAAGAATAACAGCAGGAATATGTCAACTCCGTGTTCAAGCAACGATTTTAAAATGGATTATAACATTATTTGATATAATTTCTCCAAAATTTGATATATACTCATTTTATGGAATGTTGTTTAACTTACTGGATTACGAGACATTATGCCCTTACATTTGCCATTTGTTATATCTCATGACGAGACAGCAAGATGTCACACATTTCAGAATATCAAGACTCATGTTGCTCCAGAAAAAAGTGGGAAATCAATCTTATATATCTGGTCTAATGACTGTTTACCGACTATACCAACCTTCACTCATAACAGTTGCCAAAAGCAAGAAAGGACGTTTCAAAAAAATAGAACAAAGTTGGAAGGCGAATATTTTTGAGATATCATCTCCTCTGGCATCTAAACAAGATTATTTAGGTGTAAAATCTAAAGGTTGTATTATTCCAACAGTTAAGCCCCAGATTACCGACATAATAAATGAATTTGATAGACCTTTTGATACAGTCTCATATAACCGGCTTACACAAACATCTGACATAAAATCTTTAGATGATTTGATCACATCCTTAGGGAAAACAACTTTGCCAAGTCGAGCAGCTTCACTTCTTTCAACAAGATGCCTCAAACATATATTAGCCATTTCTCCTGACTCCTCACTTAAGATACGACTACGTTTATGGCTTCATGAGCGTTTCTATTCAAGATTTTCTGAAGACGATATTGATTGCGAGAAACATGAAGAAAGGGAATTGCTAAAATTAGCGCTTGATCAACAAGAACTTTTTCAAATGAATACAACCCTTCAAGAACCACTTTTGTATAGTTATTTAGAAACTTGGAGCAGTGGGAACAACACTGATTTAGTTTTGAAAATAATTTCCAAATTACCTATCATGCCTTTTAGCATTTTGCATAAAAATGTACTGCTTATACTGGAGAAGCATTTTGTATTGGCACCATCCACCAGCTTGCGATGCGCAATCATTGAATCATTAACAGAATTAACTTGCAACTATATTGCGGTTGAATCACAAAATTCAGACACAGAAGCCCGGAATTTTAGAAAAGATATTGAAAATTTGGTTGCATTTATAGATGGTTTGATTGTTCTTGGAATCTTTCTCACTAAAAGCAGTACAAGATTTATATATAGTGGATTGGAGTTTTGGAGGACTATGACATTGACACTAAAGCAGACCAAACTTGATGTTGTAGTCTTGCCACATTTTTTAGTTGTTTATAAAGGATTATTTACTCCTAACAGATTATATCTATCATGTATCTGTGCGACGATCACAAGTTTAATAGGTATCTACACCATAAATTTGAAAGGAAATAGGCGTATTCGCCATTCATCAACTTTGGAAATGTTGAACAATTACATTACAGATTTCCATGACAGCCTGTGGCGTCACAGTGCCTTCCATCCTGCATGTAGTGAAAATAGTATAGCCTACAAAGGTTTAGAGTCGGATGTGGTAAAAGAGCAATGTGGAATGGTAAATGATATCTCTGTAATGTCATCCTTTTCTATTGACAAACATCCAGCACTAATAATTTGCACAGCTCGTTATGTTAAAGAAAACAATATTGTATCTGAACAAGCCCTTTCATCTGAGCTGCTATTGACATCCGATTATATAAAATATTTAAAAAAAGAGGGCTTGTATGATGTGTTAAAACTTCTTCAGCAGTTGACAGATTTATCTGATACGCAACTATAACAATATTTTTTTGTATAAATATATATTTATATTCATTGTTTTATGAATTTATTAGTTTTCTTTCAATAGTATTCTGACTAGACGTGTCAAAGTTAGGGCTGGGCGTTTCGAAACACTGTTTTGACCCAGTGGTTCCCAACCTTTATGTCGCGGCACAATATTGAGCAATTTACCGTAAATATTGAGCTATTTAAATATTCACGGCACACTTATCACAAAACAGGAACATTTCCTACTCTTGAAGCCGTTTAGCTATAAAATAATGAAAAACGTAGAAGATCAGATAAGAGAAATTCCATTCTTGTTAATATAACATACCCTGTATTTGAAATGGATGATTAATAGTTACCGATATTATAACTGATTTCTTACAATAATGTACACGAGACCCACCTTTGGAGCACCTCTTATTGTTGTAAGAGATGCACGGTTTAATACGTGACTAGAATACGCTTTGGTTTTTCTCGCCCTTCCCCTGGGTGTAGTCTTATAGTCCAGCGGGTAAGAGGAAAAATCATGCACGTTTGGATGATGCAAGCATGAAACTTGGCACAAATGTACAGTAGCATTCCCTGATCAATTTTAGATATGGTGCCATCGAAGAAAATACCTCGTTGCCATGAAAACGAGGCATCATCCGTATTGCTATTAAAGTGAAAGAAACATTACTTTAGGAAATTTTGAAAAGTAAACCGGTGTGTATTTAAGAAGTAAAGAATATGATCAGAAGTGCATTTTGACAATTGCCCTTGATAACAGAATACCTGGTTACCATGGAAACGAGGTATCGTTATCGACCAAACACGATTATTAGTCGCACAACCTGAATTCCGATTGATTTAAGTACCACTAAGACAGGGTGGGCAAAATACAGCCCGCGGGCAGGATCCAGCTCGCCGAAGTATTTCATCTGGCCCACTTGTGCCTGTAGAATTTACGACTACAGTATATATATATATACCGTAGTTTTTATAGATATAAATTTGCGTTGAAACTAACGAGTCGTCGGCTAAGATATAGACATACATGTATTATCTGCGCCTGTAAATAATGTGGAAATTTGGAAAACCAGCCACCTATACCTAAAACTCATCCAAGATGACCCGATTGCTACAGTATGCTGTTTATTATATAAACCTTAGTCTAGTTTTGGTGGGAAGTGGGAAGCGCAATGTGGATTCCGAATGACGTTTTTTAACAAGATATCGAGAGACGTATTTTTTAAAACAATATTCAACTTCCTGCTTAATTCGTAATGAAGGGTCTCCGGCGTTCGAAAAATATAACATTACGAGACCTTTTTTTTTAAACAAAACATATAAAAGCCTTTCGCCAACAATTTACGACACAAGAGCTTAAAATCAGGGCAGCAGATACGGTTACAAAGCTTACTTCACTTCATAGCCCACTAACTAAGTCTATTATCTGTAACTGGACCCCTCAAGAAAGTGATTTCCCACACGGCCACACCTGCTGGGGTAAGATAAACTACGCCGATTTTCTTATTTCGGTCCACCAACCTGTCAAGATATAAACCATAAAAATTGATTCCCATGATCTAAACTCAATCAATGTACACATTATATTATTCTATACATATTACGGCCTTAAACCGCTTTTTATTATATCGATCCGCCGAATTTAGAACAGTATGTTGCCTTGTATTCAATAGAATTGCAGTCTTGTAGTAGTAAAAATGTAGTAAAAATATTGAGGTTTGTTGGAGCTTAGTGCACACGATTTTCGAGAGGAAAGGGTATTAATGTTTATTGTTAATTGAATTCTGATTATTAGAAGGGCATTCACACGACACAGATAGCCAACGGCTATATATGGAAGAGTAGAATGTATCTAAAAGTTTGTTTCAAGAATCGAATTTAATTAGGCAATATATTTCATGCATTATATTATAAGCGCTTTGTTTGAAGTATATATTTAAATAGTAAAGTTGCCCCCACTAGTTATTGGGGAATCTTTGTGGAATAAATTTTTGGAAAATATAATTATCTCATTTGTTTTTCTATTTATTTTTTATTGTAGCAATTACAAAAGGCGACGTTAGATCTAGATTACAAGAATAAATGATTCCAGACAAGTTTGAGCTGAAATGTAATGCAAGTTTTCCGTCTTTCATAGATCATCTGGCTGAGATACTCCATGCCAGAGTTATGAGAATGAATTTATCTTTATTAATATATGTGATGACGATATGATAGCTCCAAGATAACAATAATCCGTCAGTTATGAGATATATAATTTATATTTTCACAAGCTTTATGTGGCTGTGAGATTGAAAATATACCATTGGCAATGGCAGTTGATTGAGCACAAAAGGAATTACATTTTGAAAGTGAATGTTGCTTAATTTGTGCTTTATGACAATAACAGGAATACTTCCCGCTCGTGTCGAACACAATAGGAATTGCTACAAAGCAAAGCCAAGTTTGTAACAAGCGAGGTGAAATCAGTACCAATCTGTTTATTCAATAAACAAAGGATTTACAATTGATTATGGAAATTTATTGCTAATACAGTGCAGTCGATTCGTGAAAACATGGTAATTTTTCCAAGCGTAGTTTGGCTGGAATATCACGTTGATCCACTGTGATATGCATGTAGGTACATAGAAAGTATGTCCAAAACCCTTTTACAGCGGCCAAGCTCATATGAGAGAATATTTACGCTTAATTTTGTGCTCGGTAAACTACTGTTAATATCGCTCTTAGCTCTTTGTTGACGTTTTCGCCTGATATGAGAGAAGCGATGGAACCTTCCAGCCGTGACGCAAAGTGCGAATTCTATAAATAGCGTGGATTTCAAAATCGCCTGTCAGACGTCTGAAAATGTCGACTCAGCTCAGACAGGAAATACTACTTTATTATGACTTATTGTTGGTTTAGCATGTATTTTCAGTCATATATACTATCCCTGACCATCCCTGGCGCTGTGTTGTTTTGATAAATATGATTTCGACTGCTCTATAGTTGGCAGAAGTATGGAGATTTTTTGTAGTTAAAAAAAACGTAAAATTAATGGTAATTTCAACGCGTAAATGCGCGTATGGGATTGTTTACGCCGTTCTACGCGCATTTTCGTCGTAAAAATTTAATTTTTTTGCGTTGGTTGTGGTCTGTGCAGTAATAATAAGAGCTGTGACGTCATCAAAATCAGTAATTTTAGCCTTGAACTTGATACACCTGTAAATACAATTGTGAATTTCAGAGTAATAACCATTTATGCTATAATAGGCGTTTCGGTGATGTTGTGTTAGGAAAAACTTGACGAAAACGTTGAAAAAAAAATTAATTAATTAGGAATTAATTATTAACCCTCTACTGTACACAGAATTTCTCAAAGTCCAATTTATTTTTAGAAATTTTTGAGATATTTTTGCAAAAAAAATTTTTTTTCGGAGTGTAATTTAAAGATATATTGCTGGATAGAAATCTAGCACACGCTTTTAAAAATCCATAAGAGAAGCTTTAGGGCTTAGTGGTTGACAAAAAAAAATAACTTTAAAAAGACCATGTCAAATAAATTAGGTCAATAGCGCTGAGAAATAGTAAATATTGGGGAGCTCCAGAAGTATGTGCACCAAGGTGGCGCACAACATGAACGTAGTATTTGTGTTCCGGTTAGCGTTCAGGTTGTGCGACTAATAATCGTGTTTGGTCGATAACGATATTTCCATGGTAACCAGGTATTCTGTTATCAAGGGCAAGTTTCAAAATGCACTTTTTATCATATTCCTCACTTCTTAAATACACATGGGTTTACTTATCTTGGAAATATCCTTTCCTAGAGTAATTAATGTTCCTTACACTAGGATAGCAATACGGATGATGCCTCGTTTCCATGGCAACGAGTTATTTTCTTGGATGGCACCATATCCAAAATTAATCAGAAGATGCTACTGTACATGTGTGCCAAGTTTCATACTTGCATCCAAAAGTGCGCAATTCCATCATATTTGAGGTCCTATCCGCTGGACTATTATTATTATCACACGTATTCTCACTTTTGCACAACCTTCATTTTTGTTTCAATTTAATGTTTCTCCCATTGCCAAAATCATCCAACGGTGTGATTGTCGGCACTAGCGAAAGAGATGAAAAAGATGAACAATTAATTATTATCGCTAAAAACACTGAATAGGTTTAAAGTTGTTATAAACAATTTTCACCAATTAACGAATCTTTCCACGTTATGCATTTCGTGAAAGGCCTGAGCATAATTCGATGACAAATATCGTAGCATTTACTATCTCGAAACGCTCATTCGACTTTTCAGACCGCAGAAACTATCCGAAAATAACCGTTTCTGTGTTCGAGATATGAAACAATCGCCAATTTCACCACGCTTCCGTGAAGTAGTGCAATTTACTAAATTTGATGATGGTTTTATTATTAAATTTCATTGCATCAGTGTTTGTGCTACCACGCGTTTTGCCTGATTACTGGCATGATTACAGATCGCAAGGATGGGCAAAATGAATATTTTTATCGAATCGAATAATTCGAATATTTTTGACGAATTGTAGAATATCGGATATTTTTAATACAAATACAATGGGCATCCAGAATGCTAGGCATTCTAATGTTGGTGAGCTATTTCCGCCCGTCCTCTCTTTTTTTACAAATTAACATTTCTGACGAGGGGGTGCGGATATTTATAAAGACGATAGTTGACCTTATGATTTTACTTTTCGATTGTGTCTGTTTTATTTTCGTATTAAATGGTGAATAAAAACCATGCAAAGTCATTGCGTGAATCCTGAATGTTATTTTGAGTTTAAATAATATTTAAATAAATAGGCAATTCTATTAGTCAAATAATGATTCCTTGGTCAAATTTCGCACGATAATTTGTTACCTTGGTTGACAATTTCAATTTTACGAAACGGTGTTTGCGCGCATTGTGCAAAACTTAGAATTAAAACAATACCTAAAATACGACTACTCAAATTTGTCGTTTCTGTATGTTAGCAAGAGCCGTCGGTAATTCTTGTGGAATTCAAGGAATTGGAATCACTCGAAATAAATTCAAAAATGAAATCTTTTCGCAGCGCATTAGTTGGCACCCTGGTTGGGAACCACTGCTCTAACCGTTATTATGACATGACAAATGCAACCCGAAGTTGGTCAAGGTATAATTTACTCCACTGGTTCATAATGATCTGTGGCATCGGAAAAAGTAAGCTGAATTTAGCAACACTTTAAAAAGAAACTCAAGGCTATTATAAAAAAAAGTAGAGGCACCGGAAAAGCCGACAATATTTTATTGTTTTACTACCGAGACGCGCGTTCAATTAATTTAACATAACATATTGTTTTTAGTGCTTTGGTAGTAGAGTTTTTTCAAATTCAGACAATGTATTTATTCTACCGTATTTTATTTGTTTATTCCAGTAAACGTTAGATATGTCGGACTGCAATTATTAACCTAATTACATAATTGAACAAATATCAAGTTCATATATAATCAAAGTTCATATCAAGTTTATATAATTTTTTATATAAATCGGTTTCATTCTGGAACAAGCCTTCAAATAAAATAACAGATAATGAATAATAGTTCAGAATGTAATGCTGAGGCCTATAGGCTTTTGCCTAATTGTTCACCATTTTTCTTTCATTTACACATACGACTGGTAAAAATTTACTTGTACAATCTCTTTTCATTTTATTCGGTCACTGATTGCCCAAACCTTTGTGGAAAGAATAACTTGCATGAGGTGCTTTGCATTATAATTTCATGCTCTCGAATTAGCATTCAGTGCTTGCTTTTTGTGGATTCAATCCTTGAAAATATGTGGGTAATGATGGTGCCATGTTTTACTGTTTGTGGAAACCGTGTGTTTCGAAACACTGCCCAGCTGTAGTCCAAGTCTTTGCTTTGCAGTCTATATCCAAGTATCGGTGACTTCCTTTTTTTCGAAATTGGTGGACAAAAAAATTTTTGTGACGATTGCCACTTGGGATGGTTACAGCATGGAATATTCAGACCTGCAGGGTATACTGGAAAGTGAAAATAAATACTTATTTCTAAATCCCCAGTATCGAATCCCAAGTGTGTGTGACTACATATATTTGAAATTGGTAGAGAAACACATTTAACAACAATTGCATAGCGAATTTATTTACAAACCATGGTAGCGACATCTAAAAATAAGTAAATGTAGCAATAACTATGAAAACAAAGAATAACAGTGTGGCATACATAACATTTTATCCAGAAAACACTGTGTATTAGCAAACATAATTTTTTCTGTTAGGTCCAATTCAATGTATATGCCTGTGTGCTCTCACTAGTTTCTTTAGTATTGAGTCGGTAAAAGGTGTAACTGTTGATTCTTCTACCATTTCAACCTTTGTTTTATTCTGTGAGGCAAAATTTTCACGAGTTAACAGGCAGTGTAAATTTTACAATAATCTAAAAGAACTGAATTTACCTATATTGATTTCTGAACCAACAATATTCACTTTTGTTCTTTCAGAGTAAGCTACCATGCTTACAGCTGCACTGTTTGCAAGATTAATTTCACCATCTGAAAATACAACACATAATGATCAAGAAATCAAAAACAAAATATGTCCATTTGTGATATATGTAATTGTGACTAACATAATGACATTTCTAGTTTTGTCACTTCCAAGCCTATCTGTCCCAGTAGATAAACTTTGGAATCAGAATATATTTGTGGTGAATGTTCTATGAAACATTCTTATTTGTCATGTATACATGTACAAAAGTGTTTATTTGGCAGGTACTGTAAAATAGAGATTTTATACCTTTAATTTGTCGTGATGCATGACTTTTATTCTTTTTCTTCCGTTTGATATGGATGACAGCCCCATCCATTTTAATATTAGTATCATCTGAACCCACAACACTATTCAATACCACACTGCCACTGGTGTCAATACCTTGAAATTGCAATAATATTTCTTTGTAGCACATTTAAACAATGATTTTTCATTCCGACTTAGGAATGAATGCGAGAACCTGTCCTGTTATAACCCAACAGGGGAACTACTATGATGCAGATGTTTTGAGATCAAGAACATAATTTTGCTTTTCAAACGAAAACCAACCGTCTATAATTTATATCTACTTTTCGAAAGAATTTTGGTGTTATTTAGCCATATTAATTTAGTGCTGAAATACGACTATAAAGAGTTCTTTGAAGATGATGAAGTCTGAAGATGTTCACAATTGTAATTAAACAATAAATGCAATCGATTGAACTATCAAGCCTCAGCCACTGAAATAGGTTGATAAAGAAAGAGATTTATAAAGAGCACTGTTTTATATTATGCAACAAGACAGCAATAATGAAAATATATACCTGACTGACTGGAAGAATGATTTACTTGTCGATCAGATTCTGAAAATTTTCAAAAATTTAAATATGAATATCTATTATATAAATGATACACATATATAATTAATTCTTACCGGGGTGTTGCTGACTACCTGCTGAACTAGCATCACTCCCTGAAACTTCTAAAAAAAATTTATGATGATAAATTAAATAGGCTAGTTGGCCACCACAATACATTTTCAGCCGTAAGGAGACAATTTTCACAAAATTCAGAATAAAAATTGGAAGGAATCACTGGAAATATCAAAAGTATATCCTTGAGAATAAATGGAATAGTGCACAAAAAGTAAAAATAATGGATTGGTTTAGTTATCAGTAAATTATTATTGCTAGTACAAGATTTTTTCCATCAATTTGCCTCTCAATTACATGGGGATACAACAAATTTCACATAGACAAGTACATTGCTGAATAAAAAAGTTTTCAATTTAATAGACTGTGGCCAAAGTAAAAGACTGTTTCAAAGTAAAAGTTGAATTTAATATCTTACTTATGGTTGTCTTTGTTCCGCTGTTATCGATGACCGTATCATGAGATCCTATAACAACTGTGCCCATGGCTGTATCAGTGATGTCAAGTGTGCCAGCTAAAATGGTATGTCAAAACAGAAAGCATATTTACTTACTGTGTGTGATACAGGTTCTGTTAATATTTTTTGATTCATAAACAGCATGAGCCTGGGTGTCTGCATAAGAAAGGATGTCAGGTGATCTTTCTAGCATTTCTTTGCACAGCATTAGCTAGCTGAATTCCTGGTGTTTCATGATCGTGTATATACTATTATTTAACTATTTTTTCTTATGTTATTCAAATGATTGAAAAGTGGCATAACTATACATACCAGACACTTGGCGTTCCGCTGTGCTTCCCACCTCTGGTACAGACACTGTAATAATGAAAAACATAGTCAAGGTGCAATTTTATAAAGAATATTGATTTGAATTCAATAAAATGACGAAAGTTGTTACAAATATGAATGAAGTGAAAACTTTCTAATCAATATTAAATTCTTGTTCAACGGATTAATTTTGTTGAACGTTTACTGTTTTCAGCTATGGATTTGAAAAATTCAATTAGAATAGCAACCAATATTAATTACTGATAATAAGAAAAGCTTTATTTCAAGAATTCAGATCAGTTATCCTTGAATTTTTCCTACTTTCATTCACCGTACTTTGAATGTGCGAAAAAAGTGTGTACAATACGCGAGAACTTTATCATGCTAGAAATTATAACCATCACAATCCCTTTACAATTGAATAGTAGATTTCATTGACAGGTAGTTATGACAGATCAGAACATAAGTCTGCGACACCGAGATTGAAAGCAAGTCAAAATAATAGATAAATTGAATAAATAAAAAAATAAAAAAAATTGACGAATAAAAAAAACTTAGCCTTTCAAAATTTTAACAACAAATTATGGACATCTCCTGGATAATAAAAAAAATTAGGTAGAAATAATTGAGACCCATGAATAGAAATGGTAAAATATCGGTAAAGATCATCTTTGTGTTATGCTTGAATTTGCCCCTATGAGAAACCATACTCACTGTAACATCAGTCTTACTACTTAGACAGCGTGAAACGCAGTTTTTGCCACTTCATGACGGCTCCTGCCACAAAAAAAAACACGGCGCCTCTCGGCATGGTTTTATGGCGCTATTACCGGTATATTCACAAGGTTATGTACCGGATTTTAGGTCATCATGCGAAATTTTATCTCCTTTTTTTTATCTAACCCTAAAGCCAAATCAATCAAAACTGTATCCATATGGAAAATGTTCCAAATTATAGTACTCAAAATATGTCACCAGCAGGGGCAGACCTGCCATTACAGCCTACATGCCTTGGTTTGTGTTTTTAATTTGCTGCCGTGGCACCCAAACTCAAAAAAAAAGGTACCCCAACTCATTGCAGAATTTTTTTCTGCTTTGCGCTGTTTCCCTCTGTTCCGCGATGTTTTGAGCTGTAGTAGCCTATTCAGTAAGTAGTAAGGCCGCTGTATTTTTTTCAAGATTTTAAAAATTCAAACTCAATTCAAGGGATTCCCTGTTTTTTCGAAAAAAAAAATATTCAATCAATTTTTTCCTGAAAGACTCATGCAAAACTCGTTTTAAGAGATTCTTTTTCTCTAAAAAAATAATTTCAACCCATCATTTTTAATGAAAGGTTCGGACATAATAAATATTTCATGCGAAACTAGCCACCAAATTTTTTTACTGTGATGACTTTTTGCACAGATATCAGTCAGAGTTGACACAGGGACAGAGTGTACGCAACCTATATACAAAAATCGGCGCTCCAGAAGTATGTGTACCAATATGGAGTAAACTAATTTTGTTTTTTGCCTATTTTACTTCAAGTTGTGTAAAGGGACTGAAACCTATGGGCAGGATATTCACTTGGCTTACACTTGACAGACAGTTCCCAAACTCGTAGATTCGTAATAGAACTAAAATAAGGAAAATCGGAATAAAATTATGACCTGACCCTAAACCTGGTACACATACTTCGGGAGTACCCAAAAATCAGTCAGATATATAATTAAAGAAAAAAGGTTTAAGAAATTCTGATACAGATTGAATACCTAATTTGCTGTGGACCAATCTAATCACATATATGTAATTCTGATTTCAACAAAAGAAGAAATTATATAATTCTGCAAACCATGATATTCTGTCCCAGCCCTATTGTAAAATGTTGTGTGACTTGATGCAATAACTGTGTCCACCATAGTAGCACGATCAATAGTTCCAGTCACTAAATAATAGAAAAAAAAAGTGAAGGACATAAGTTAAAGCCCTGATGTACTGCAGTATATATAAAATGAATATTCCATAAAAATACATACCTTTTTCATGAGCCATTATTAAAGATGAATGTATACAGCGATGATGAATATTTTGAAGACGTAATACAAAAGCAGGCAAAATTTATCTGATTTTATTTTTATCAAAATCTGTTAAATAGTTTTTTGATTCAAGTGTTAGGAATACCAGGATTGATAGATGAAAGAGAAATGAGAAAATACGGCACAACAGTGCCACATTAAAATTTTATTTTGGTCACTCTCTGGCATAAAACGGGTCTAGTATAGTTTAGTACCACAGTGGGTGTAGCATAATTTCCTGTAAGGTGTTCCTAACCCCCACCAGACTATGTCATCCAAAAATTACGCCACTATCATGTCATAGAGCTTTCCCAAGTATAGTTACGATCGCTCGAAATGGCATCTGCGATGCCGATAACGAACTCACCAACGCCGGTGATTTCTCTCGTATCGTGATCGATCCGAGGAGAAAACGAGAGAAATAGCTTGCTCGATTTCGGGTGATTGTCTGCGCGTTTTGGACGAGTACCCGCATACTTTGGTGGGCCTCATTACGTCACTGTAATGTGGAAATGGCGTGACATAGTCAGGTGAGGGTTAGGAATGACATAGGCAAAAATTGTTGAGCCAGGCCAACTAGAAGTGAATGTGGTACTATACCAGACCTCATAAAACAACAACAAATGGACAAAAAAGCAGATCCGGAGGATGAGCATGACTTAAGGACAAAGTTGAAATGCACAAGTACGATATGCCTGTGCGTGCCCATCCGGCAAAAACAGTCAAAGAACACAAATGATACAAAATGGCGCAATAGCTTTTACAAGCAAACAACAGACTGACGGAACAATGACTGAGCCGTGCAGGTTGAAATTAGAGATGTGCCGATACCACTATTGTCGCCGATACCAACTAAGAAAGCCCATACCGATATCACAAAAGGGCCGAAATATGATACTATGTATTTATTACCTCAAGTGTGCATGGCAGACGGGTTAAAACAGTAGTCTTTGAGCATTAGTCATACTACACATTATTCCAGATTGAAAAAGGGATATAATACATCATAAAAAATTGATGTCTGGGATTCTGATGCATTAATTGATTTATATGCATTGTGTACTGACGCTAGTAATCTCGGTGTTCAATTAGAAAACTCATAGGCATGGATGTCCAATTTGAATTTAATGTAAGTATCGCACCCTTCGAATATCGTTTTTCGTGTTCATAAGAATATCGCCAACATATCTTAGCGCCGCCATCCACGTTTTAATTAAAAACCTTTCACATATATATATTTTGTTCTGTGTTTTATCGTAATCAGGCGTCGCGACAATAAATTACAGCCGACATTGAAAAATTTCAATCAAACCAAAAAGAAATACCTATAACACGTCGAGGATATTTTCGATTTTATAATATTTTACAATTATTATTGATTATATCGAGATAGTCTGGGCGACCATGACAATAAATCTATGAGGAAATTGTGTAGGTAAATAAAATTGAAATCACAATATTTAATACCTGTTTAGAGAGATAAATGTGTCGGAATTTAGCTTACAATGTTGATGGACTAAAATACACTCTCTCTTGACGATAAAAAGTCAGAATTTATAACCGTGCCGAAAAGTACATGTGCTGTTAATAAGGGCTTCGATACTACTGTATGATTTAAACTGGGAGCCTAGTTGCTCCTATTTCTGTGCTTGTCAGCTAACACCCCAATTCATGGGTATAAATACTGTAATGCTTATTAAGTCTCTTTTCTTAGAAGCAAGAAAATCACAATTTCATTTATATCACTCATGTCCTATGACTGCTTTACAATGCTAACATTATCAAAGCCTAATTACTATGCTCCTGGATTTTAGAAATGTGAATAGGCTAGTATTTATATGTGGGGTTTGACAATGTATTCGGAATTTTAGTTTCGAAAATATTTTTTAGAAAATATTCTAAGTCAATCGTTATGGCCATCCCTGCTCATAAGGTTTGGTGGAAAAATAAATGAATGTTTAGCCTACTTATACTATTAAATTGATACATCCCATACATGCGCAAGATTTTAAGTGAATATAACGACATATTTTGTATTTTACATACTACTAATATTTGATTGATATATTTTTTCATAATTACTATTAATACTAAAAATGTTAATAAAAAAATTTGGCAGCGAAAATACTCAAATTAGTTGAGCGTTTCGCTGATAAATAACTGAGAACAGGTCAGAATCATCTTCCCGTTTCTAATCGCGGGAGTGGGGGCGTGCATGGCTCAAATGGTGCAAATTTGGCCGACATTGACGATACCGATATATCTCGGACCCTACTAAAAAGGTAGGTATCATAGGTATCACTCCATAAAAAGATAGGTATCAGTAGTAAATGACTAAAAAGGTAGGTATCAGTAGTAGATGACTAAAAAGGTAGGTATCAGTAGTAAATGACTAAAAAGGGTACCGGTAGGTATCAGTAGTAAATAACTAAAAAGGTAGGTATCAGTAGTAAATGACTAAAAAGGTAGGTATCAGTAGTAGATGACTAAAAAGGTAGGTACCGGTATCAGTAGTAAATAACTAAAAAGGTAGGTATCAGTAGTAGATGACTAAAAAGGTAGGTATCAGTAGTAAATAACTAAAAAGGTAGGTATCAGTAGTAGATGACTAAAAAGGTAGGTATCAGTAGTAAATAACTAGAAAGGTAGGTATCAGTAGTAGATGACTAAAAAGGGGGCTCCCGAAGTATGCGAACCAAGATGGCGGACATCGGAATGTAATATGTGTACTAGGTTAGGGTTAGGCCATAATTTTAGGTATAAATACTACGGGAGGCCCTTGGCTAGTCTTCGAACTGATAATACTGTAATAGGACTAAAATGAGGAAAATTGGAAAAAAATTATCGCCTAACCCTAACCTGTTACCCATGTTACTTTCCGATGTCCGCTTAGTCATTTACTACTGATACCTACCTTTTTAGTCATTTACTACTGATACCTACCTTTTTAGTCATTTACTACTGATACCTACCTTTTTTGACACTGATACCTACCTCTTTAGACACTGATACCTACCTTTTTAGTCATCTACTACTGATACCCACCTTTTTAGTGAGTGATACCTACCTTTTTAGTAGGGCCCATATCAGGGGCGGACACCCGGGGGGGCGAGGGGGGGCGGTCGCCCCCCTAATAATTTCGTAAAAAAAATTAATACATGTTGTTTCCGCCTTATAAAATTATCATTTCCGAAAAGTGCGATAGTCAAGCGCAATCAAACGATTAATAGTTACCAATATTATAACTGTTTTCTTACAATAATGTGGACCAAGAGCGCCCGCGCGGGTAATACTCCGTCTTCAAACGCACCGCCGATCACGCGCCACGGTTTTGCACAACTAATTCATTTTTGTACAATTTGATATGATTTTTTCATTGTCAAAATCTTTCAATAGTGTTATTGTTGGCACTTGCGAGAGAAGTGAAAGAGGCATCATTACAACAATTAATTATTATCGCTGAAAAATTAACTAGATCTAAAGTTGTTATAAACAATTTTCACCGCTGGACGTATCTTTTCACGTTATGGATTTCGTGCAAGGCCCAGCATAATTTGCGGGCAAAGATCAAAGCATTTACTATGTCGAAAAGTTGAAAAGCGGAAATATGAAATACTTAAAACAAAACTGAAAACAATATAAGTTTTGTTGAGGCCCGCGACAGTCTATAAACGCTTTTCTAGGCATCGAAAATCGCAAAATTTCGTGTGCCTACGGCACAAATTATGTTTGCTTGACCTTTAAAAACATTTCGTCACTAAAATCAAAACGGTCAATTGTGAGCGGGATTTGCCTTTTTATCCATTACTTTTAAATTGACGTCGAAAATTTTCGTGTTAACATTAAACAAAGCTGGGAACGCGACTTTTCCCCGGTTTGTGATGATATATATAAGATAATTAAAGTATATTCGATCACTTTTTGTATTTATTTATGCATTTTTATTGTACTGAAATAACTTTTACTACGTGAGAATTGACAGAAAATTTACGGCTTTTTCGAAAGGTTTCATCTTTAAAAATAATCGGAGTGACAACATTGCGATTGAGCGGAGCCAGTGTGACAAGTACATCTCAAATTTATCGAATTCGCAAAATAGCAAAAATACGGATCAAAACAATACATAACGGGCAGTTTACCTCACATTTTTATGTTTGCGGATTGCCGTCGTGTTTTAGAGTGGCTCTTGTTTTGTCGACTCAACCGCAGTTTAAATTGAAGACAATTAAATTAATAAATCAAGACATTTTGAATATGCCCTTATCGGTCTTTGATTGATTAGTTTGCACAAGTGAAAAATCATTTTTCGTTGATAAAATTGGCTCTTTTAACAAGTGGCGCAATCACGGCGACTGTTCCGCGTGGATTTCGAGGCGGTGAATTTGTATTTTTGATTTACTAGTATACTTTATAATGAATTAAAATTGTACTATATGGGATTTTATATCAGATATCGAGATTTTTGTAACGGCGATAACGAGTTCGGAAGATTGCAAAAATAGGTATCAAAATTAAATACATCAGGCAGCTTATGTCATATTTTTATGTCCACATATCGCCGTGGTACTTTAGTTTAGTAATATTTTTATTTTGACGTAAGAAGTCGCAACCGCGAGTTACGTTGCACACTATTAAATTAATATATAAGTACATTTTAGAATCTCGTGGCTGTCATGGATCGACAGAAAAATCATTATACGCTTAAATAGGCGGCTCTTTTAACGAGCGCGTAATCGCGGTGCTTGTTGCAGATGGCAATGGGAAATTTCTGAACTTGTGCCTGTTTATTTTCGTATTAAATTATAAATAAATACCCTGCAAAGTCATTGCGTGAATCCTGAATGTAATTTCGAGTTCAAATGATGATTTAATAAATCGGCAATAATGGCAATTCTACTAGTCAAATGATAATTCCTTGGTCAAATTTAAGAAAAAAATTCGCACAATGGCTTGTTACCTTGTTTTGCATTTCTAATTTTACAAAACGGCGTTAGTGCGCTTTATGCAGAACTAGGAATTGAAACAATAACCTAATACGACTCCTAAAATTTGTTATTTTCTGTCTGTTAGCGAGAGCCGTGGGCTAATTCTCGCGGAATTCTAGAAATTGGTTCAGTGACGCGCAAGTTCCGTGTCCGAGCAAAGCAGCCTAGGTACTCGATATATGAGTTGCAAAATGACATTCTAATACTTAGAGAATGACATCGACAGGTTATTGTTACGTGACGATACGCGGCGCGGTGTTTTTCGGTAGGCGATCCAAGTTCGCCCCCCCAAAATTATGGAAAGTGTCCGCCCCTGGCCCATATATCTCTAGTTGAAACTATGAATGAGTCTAATTCATTTTCAGCAAAATGCAAAACAATGAAAACTGTACGAGTCGAAACGATGAACGAGTCCACTTTATGTTCTCTAAAATGCAAAACAATGAAACCTTTAGTCTGTTAGTAAAATGTGCAAGTAAAACAGTCCACGTCTTGTCCATCAAAATGCAAATAACTGAAACTAACAATATAACTGAAAGCTGTGTAAGTTCTTTTATCTATAGCAGTAGAACTCGTGAATTACGATATTGTTCCCAAAATATACTTTCCTGGCAGGATGGACACTTACTTCCTGCTTCTCGGTCATAGAATACAGAAAACGATTCAACCAACACGGTACTGTATCGGCGTCGAAACACCTGGGGATTTCCCTAAACTATAACCGACAACACAACCAAAATACGTAAATTTGGTCTTGGCTATTCGGCGTCTTAAACTATCAGATAGTAGTTCCAATACTTGAACCCAGAGGCAGTTTGTGAAACTATTGAGAAGACTGTCTCCAAGATCAAGTAGTTGTGATAAAACAGAACTTTCCAAAATTCTCTACTCAGGTATGAAAATTGTTAAGGGATGCATTACCAAATACGATAATTTAAAAAGGCAAGATCAGCGCGTTCCTCAACCTTATTTTTTAACAGGGGACAGGTTTTTTTTTATTACCGCTCAAACTATGTGTTATGTATTTGACAGACCACTTACAATGGTATATATACTATAGACCCATTTTCTGGACAATTTGATCAAACTATATAAACATGGTAGATATAAATGTTATAGGGGATGTAAAGGAGATCATCGTGCAGAATTAAAGTTCTTCACCACAATCTTAACAAAAAAAAAACAAGTACCTACACAAGTACACATCCCACCAATCCATTGCCTCCTATTAAACAAGTCAACAATGAACAACTCGCACAGATATTAACAAGTTACTACTTTTATTTATAATCTATAATTAAATGCAGGAAATACATCAGATAATAAAAAAAATTATTATCACATCTAGTAAAATGAGCAAATGCAAAATCACCAAATTCGCTTTCAAAACCAGAGAGAAATTATAATAGGCATCAAAAAACATTTCCACCAAGAAAAATGTAATGAAGCGTTACTACACAGTTCACACAAGACTGAAAAGAGCAAAATTCAATATATTTTTATATAGGTTAGCCAAACGTTGAGAGCCAGGCACCCAACATAAACCAAGAATTTTAATAGGACTTCTGTGACCATATGCTTATATTAACTTTAGTGCAGAATGTCCTTAAAAGGAACGTTTCCAGCGAATTTGATTAGTGATAGTATGGCAGGATATGTGACATTCTTAACTTTTCACTAATGTAAAAAAATCGGGTTTGACTTATATCAGTGGCTGAAGAATCAGTATACATAAAATATTTACAATACAATAGTAATAAAAATAGCTTAATAACATGATAGAAACGAAGCTTTAAGCTTATCAACAAAGAACAGTAGAAAAATTGAATTTCAGAGAGTAAATTGAAACCGTTGCAGAATATGTGGTTGATGAATCAGTAATTATCCGATGTAGGAGAAGTCATCACTGTACGAAGTTCGAGGTTATCTCTGAAATTTGCTCTCTCCAGTGTCAGTTCAGGATCATTGTCTACGAATCTGTATTTAGAAAAATATAAGAATTATACAGGAGCAAAAATCTATCTAATGAAACTGAGTATTAATTCACGGCCACACTCTGACAAAGAACTGAAAGCATAATACCTCAATAAGTTTTGTCGTTTTTCACATAAATTCGATACAGCTCTAAAACACTATCATTATAGGAAAAAATATACTAAATTCTATCAATAAGAGCTTAAGCTCCTGATTATTTTTTCACATTAATAATTTTATACTACTTCATACAATAATAAAATTTATTCTCTTAAGCTTATAATTTTTTTAAATACAAATTCTAATTTTGATTTAAACGTTATAAGTTAATCTTATATATCAAAAGTTAATTTATAAAATTTGAAATCTTTGCATCACAGTTGCGAGTCACACTCAAAGGAAACTGCATTTGAGATGATGTTTCATAGTAGTGGTCACACCAAAACGACTTCAAACTAGCTCCCCAGCCGTGACAGTCACAACCACAAAACTTGGATCAATTATTATTAGTTAACATACGTTGGAGGTTCAACACCAACAATCTGTAGCCTGAATTCCTTGTCTCCAAAGCGAGGTTGCAATTCTCTGATAAATTTCTTGATACTTTTCACACGATCCCTCTGCAAGAATGTGCATGTGACGTTAGCTCCACCACCTAACTTTATGCTGAATTGAAACTTTGGTGCTTTGTAATATTCATAGGTTGATGGTTTTGGTAATTCCTCTTCCTGATTAGGGTCTGAATGAAAAAAGAAATAGGGAATGAATGCTAACGCTGTCACTTGACAGAAATTTCACTTAATATTCCCTACATGCAAAAACCATTTTTTGAAACATGTGAGGTATAGACTTCTATAAACTGTGTGAAATGACAAAAGCCTCATAAAAGCTGCTGCTGCATGGATAGTGACAATACCCAAAAGAATTAGAATCATTCTAGTTTAGCATAGTATACCTAATTATTCAACCCTGCGTGAGAAGTGATGAGCAATTTCCAGCATTTGGAGTTATACCAGTTGGGCGAAGTACATTTTCAACTGCCACAATAAATCTTTCACAAAGCATTCATAGTGTTTGACTCGCTTTATAATTGAAGACACACAATTACAATTACGGCAGTCACATAGTGAGCTTACAGTATAATCTATATATTTAGGTAATACACAGTATTGGAGACTAAACTCACCTGCCATCTCACGGGTTGGTTGTTTATCTGTAAAAAAAATTCAGTAAGGTGCCCGGAAAAACAAAGAGTAATATGAATTTGGAAATGACTTACCATCTGTTGCATGGCAAGCTGGAGTGGGACTTTGATCTTCATCAGAACTTGAATCTATTAAAGATCAAATAGACTTATCAAATCAGTAATGCAGTTCCCTAAATCAGTGGTTTCCGAAATTTTGCTAATATACTGGTATAATATTCATTCTCGACATTTATACTTGACAAAAGCTAGTATTGGTGCTTCCCAAAAGTTTCAAAGACTATTGCTTGCTGGGCGACTTATTAGCTTCAAAATAGAAAATAGATGCCCATGACATTATTATCCACCTTCATCACCTACCTTCAATATCAACTTTGATTCTATTCATAGAAATATCTGTTTTGGAAGATCTGGAGATGTCGTTCAGTTTTACATCATCAAAATTACCTAAAAATGATATGCTTCAAATAAAAGGGCCATCACACCGGGTGATACAACACAGTATTATTGGAATTTTCAGATTACAAATATACCAGTTTGGAAATCACCAGTGGTTAAGAGTGTTGGACAAAATATTATTGGCATCACAGGTTCAAATTCTTAGGTTAGACCAGGGATGTCCAACCTGCGGCCCGTGGGCCGCATTGCGGCCCACTTAATGTTTGGATGCGGCCCACTAACGAATCATTAAAAAATTTTTTTTTAGCAAATTTATGAAGTAATGAGCACGAGAGTCTTCATGTAATTTAGTCAAAATATATTTATTGTAATTTAGTCAAAAAATACTTTATATTTAATAAATAAAATAATTGTAGCGACCAAATTGAAACTCCCGTATGTATTTTTTCTCGCGCTCTGGTGCGCCGCCACCAGCTACTCGCCATGCCGTTCGCAAGTCTTTGTTCTCGACAGTGTTGTTTTGGCTGTGGCGGTGTGCAGACTATATCTCTCAAAAGTAAGTGCTTAATCATTTAAATTTTCTTTATTGTTGAAATAAATGCATTTTCAGTAAACTACGGCTCAGTACACCTATTAATGGTTAATTTCTTTTTCAGAGAACTATAATCTTAAGTAATGAAAATTTTATATTTATATGGCCATGGAATCTATTACTAAAAAAAGGAAAATAGCAGAAGAAAAGAGGAAATTTAATATCCAATGGACGGAAAAATATTTTGTGACCGAGTTATTTGGCAATATAACATGTCTTATATGTAATGATAAGATTAGCGTATGCAAGGAATACAATGTCAGACGTCATTATGTTTCGAAACATGAGTCAGAATATCAGACATTTAATGAAGAAAGAAGAAAAACGAAAATTGAAGAATTGACAAAGGCAATTAGCTCACAACAAGCTAATCTTCAAAAACATATTGTTAAAAGTGGAACATGTACAAAAGTTAGTTACCTTATAGCTGAGAAATTAGCTAAGAAAGGAAAACCTCTTATTGATGGAGAATTAATAAAAGAATGCATTGTTATTGCTTTTAATGAGTACTGTCCAGACAAGGTGAATTTAGTAAAGGAAGCATGTCTATCACATCAGACAATTGGCAGAAGAATTGATGACTTGGGTGATAATATTGAAGGCATACTGAAGGACAAATTATCTGCATGCGTTCTTTACAGTTTAGCGTTGGATGAAAGTATTGACCAAAGTGATACTGCACAATTAGTTATTTTCATTAGAGGAATTGATGAAAATTTCAATATTATTGAAGAAATGTTGGACTTGTGTCACATAAAGGGCACAACAAGAGGCAAGGACATATATGAGATTGTTAATTTGTCATTAGATAAATTCAATATTGATAGGAAAAACATTTATTCAATTACAACTGATGGTGCTCCTGCCCTGACTGGTCAACACAATGGTTTTATTAGTTTATTTAAAGAATCTGTTGATCATGAGATTCTCAGTTACCATTGCTTGATACATCAACAACAATTATGTGCTCAAAAGCTAAATATGAAACATTTGATGACTGATCTTGTCAAGGCTGTTAATTTCATCAGATCACTGGGTTTAAATCATCGCGAATTTAAAGCATTCTTGGACGAAGTTGGCAGTGAATATGAAGACGTAGTATATTTCTCAAAAGTTAGATGGCTCAGTAAAGCAGCAACCTTAAAAAGATTTCAGTTATTGTTGCCTGAAATAAAAGTGTTCTTGGAAAAAAAGAAGCAAAATGTGGATTTTTTAGAAAATGAAGAATGGTTGAATGATTTATTTTTCTTTGTAGACATCACCGAAGTATTAGCTGAACTTAATTTGCATTTACAAGGAAAGGACCAATTATGTTCCTCAATGTTTGAGCGAATAACTAGTTTCACAAAGAAATTGGAACTTTTTATAGCACAGCTAAAAGCTGGTAAAATTGTACACTTCCGTAGTCTATCTGAAAGAGAAAAAAAGTTTTCTGTAAACTATGAAAAATATACTAAATTATGTGAGGATTTGCTTGGAGAGTTTACGATTAGATTTTCTGACTTTAGAAAGATTGAAATTGAGTTAAAATTGTTTAGTGATCCATTTTCATTTGAATATGATAAAGCACCAGTGGAGTACCAACTTGAACTGATTGAGCTGCAAAGTCGGGAAGGTTTAAAAACTTTTCACAGGGAGAACACACTTCCTTCATTTTATAAGAAATTGCATTCTCTCAAAAATGAATTCAATCAAATTCTAAATTAATCCAGAAAATTATTATGTATGTGGGGAAGTACATACTCTTGCGAGCAGTTTTTTTCAAGCATGAAAAACATTAAAACTGCAGAAAGAAACAGGTTGACTGATAGACATTTAGCAAACATTCTTAGAATTAAGAATGCATCCTTCGATGCAAATATTGAAAACATTATGGCTGGAAAACAAAGTCAAAAGTCTCATTGATTTAATATTGATTAATTAAATTTAATGTGTTTTTTATGTATAGCTACATATAAACATTACAATATTTACAACGTTGTAATAATGTAAATAAACTGTATTCACGTGGTTTTGTTTTATATTGTAATTTTTCCATTAAATTGTATTAAGAGGTGGTTTTGCGGCCCAGTTAAATATTTAAGTTTGCCATGCGGCCCATTGAATTAAAAGGTTGGACATCCCTGGGTTAGACCCAGATTTACTCAGGAGTCCAGGACTGTTCTGATCTGAATTAGATTCTGGTCTTTCTATAAATAGTTTGTTACGTGTCACTGAAAGCGTGAGAGGAGCCTTGTGTGGAAACGCCAAAAATTTATTCTTTCAGAAATTACTATCTAAAAGCACCATTTGTCTTGGTATATCGTCACATGAAAGTACTGTATAATAAAAGTACCAAAGATTGTCAACGCTACAACAAACATAAAAAATTGACGTTCATGCCTCAATTATTTTGTAACATCATTCTTTGCATGTTACAGAATGTTTTTTGTAAGCATAACTTTAACCATGTAAACATTTCCTAAATTTTGTGCTCGTGCCCTACTAGAGCAAATTTTTTATTCCATATAATTTGTTCTATTATACAATGTTTGCATAAATTTACAATTGAAATTAACAAATTTAAGAGAATAAACTTGAGATTCATTCAACTCGTGTTAAATTATTCCGATATAAAATCCCTAATTTTCATACAATAGAAGATACCTTCAATACTCATTCCATCTTGATTAATGTTTGTTGCATGACAATCCCGAACCTTGTTTACAACCAAACTTCCAGGTGGTTGAGACACTGGCATCGAAAATAGAAATGTGATATTATTTATCTAGTATGGAAAAATTTAATTTCGTGATACGTGCCAAATTATCAAGTATCACCAAAACAATTAACAATAACAGTGACAATAAAATGCAATAAGCTGTTTGCAGTTGCAATATAATATTGAGTGTTTTTCCTTTCTTTTGCATGACGCATCTATAATTGAATATCATTCAAACCAATTATTTAAAAAGTACCAGTAGCTATTGAATTAATATTAGAATATTTTCAAATAATTGATTGGATCATAAATAATACAAAAATTATAATACAAAAATTTGCTTACCTCCTCGTGGATATCCGTCTCTGCGGGCCCCTAAAATATATTTATTTAAAAAAAAGAATGACCTGTTGTTTTTGGTAACATATTAGCTTTTTGACAAACTTTGTGTATTAAGTAACGGCAACCATCCAGAATAATGAATTTCATTTCCCAATATCAAACCTGGACTGGCAACATATGGGAGGCGATGATTCAACATATACAAGGAGATCACCATGAAATAGAACCCCAAAATGTAGAATCACTTCTATAAAAATAAAGAAAATTTAGGTACCACCTAAACTATTTATGTATGATTGTACCCAAATGTTTCCGTAACATAAGACGCTTTGCACAAAATTATGTTCTCTCTAAAACATGTTACAAAAGACCTGAATTCTGTTTTTGGAGTCACCCTGTAATAGTACCGTCTTATCTACTTTTCCCTCCCTCTGGATGAATATTTAAGTAACGCTACAAGTACTGCAACAAATCAATTAGAAAGATAAATGAATTTACCATATGTTTAATAGTTATTTTTCTAATGGGTTAAAGACTCACCATCACCCAACTTTGATCGATTGTACTGATCTGAAAATAAATAATAGAAACTACTTTGTGATAACATAATAGATTATCACATCAAACTTTGCTGAATTTTTTAGTAGTAAATCCAACCGATGTCTCAGATTGAGACTTTTAATATAGAGAATATTCATTCTGTATTGCGTATGGAGGAAATGCTACAAAGTACCAAGTGAAATTGATGATGAAAAGTTCATGTGTGGTCTTTACATGCAATGCCAAACAACAGTAACTATCAGTATACATTTTAAGACTCCGTAGAACTGATTATTAAAATCAACGCAGCAATAATACACAACAATAAATAAAACAAAGAATTTTTCAATTATTGATAAAAACTGTACCAAATGTCATGACTTTCATATCTGTCATAGAAATTGTAGTTCCAGAAGAGTTGCTGATATCATTGATTTCAAGAGACGAATAATTACCTGACAAAACAATACAAATAGTTACAATCTATAAGAGAAAGCAGTAATGGTTGATATAAACGGACGTTTCCAAACTCTGGTCTAGTGCAGGGCTACTCAACTATTTTTACTGAAGATCCGCATACAAAACTTCAGAATTATTTGGGTCCGGTGTTTCCAAAAATTAATATATATCGGCATCCGTAAACGCACACACTTCCTTGACCGGCTAATGATTATCAGCTAATCAAGATAGTTTATTATGGTGTTATAGTTCATTAGTTCCTTTCATATATATTCAAAACAATAAAAAGTCATTTGATAAAATGAAACTTTAAAAGTGGGGCTAATGATCCAAAATAAAGAATTTGGTGCAGTCCGAATCGAATACTCGAAATGTCCAGATTCAGACCGCGTTCCGCCAGTTTAAATCAAATTAAAATGTGGGAATTTTTACCCCGCCTTGTATGATCATTCAACCAAATCATGCTGTCTGAATTACTATGTTTTTGCCCAATATTCTAGTGTTTCAAATGAGAACATTGCTATGACTAACCTTGACTCACATCTGAAAATAATTTGGTTTATGATAAAAACTAAATTGATGGTTATATCTAGTATTTTTCGTAACACAATCTTGAAGGGATTACATTAGAAAATTATATAATAATATAAAGGGTTTAAGTAAACAAATAAATAAACAATATATATTTCACTCGGTGTAAGAGCCTATTAATATTTAAAAATATCAGAGATAAGGTCTCATGAGTAAAAAGACCTAATGTTTCTCATATACTTACCAACTATTGTGGCTTTGTCCATCTTGATAGTAAGATCAGAACAGTTTGTAATTTTATTGACCGTCAGTTTTCCACTCATGTTGTTTGGTTTGTTGAAGACTCAATTATATGAAAAACTCTATACAAATATATCAAATGGCATACACTAAGACTAAGATGTCTGAATACATCAAACACAATTGGATTAAAATATTGTAACATTAGTAACCAGCAAATAGCAATTGTAATTTAGTTAGACCAAAATAAGATAAATATAATAGATTATTCAACAGCATGAAATTAATAAGCCAATGTAAGTTACAAATATCACTAATCAAATTGAATGCAATGGAAATTTATTTAATATTACTAATAAATCCAATTAATACAAGCACACTGGTCTGAAAGTTTTTGAAACAAAAATGTTTATTTCTTCCATGTGTTGTTTTCGTAATCCCATTTGGAGGAATACCCAGTGACATCTCCTTGATGTTGCTGAATCATTTTCTTGATCGACGCGTTTATCCATTCTTGATCTGTTACGGTAGACACATAGGGAGGGTTGATGTATACATGAATAAAGAGATGAAGGAAGAGAGTGAAACCAGCAATGTAGAAAAGAACACCAACATAGCTCTTCCAGTTGTCGGTTGGTCTTTCCATGTCAGAGATTCTCATACCGAAATACGCATCATAGAGTTGTTTCATATCTTCTTCTGTCAAATTTTTCCAATTTCCAGCTTCTTTTGCCTTCAAAGCCTTCAATTCTGGGGTTGTGCACCAAAGTCTAGGCTTCAGGGGTAAAGGATTGATCATGTCTTCACGGAAATATACATTGACATTAGGATCATCTGTCATTGCTGGACCAGCGACTCGCACAGGTTGTGAAGTGCTGAGAAGTCTTCTTGCAACCAGGCGGGAAGCTGTCACACGAAGTAGATGGGATGCCATGGTTGTATTCCTATTATATTACCTGTGCTACAAAACTGTTCAATTGAAAAACTAATAATATTAAGCATCATTATTAGAGGTCTTGATATCCAATTGACAAATATAGACAAAAAAGGTAAACCAGTCCAAAGGAAGCAAAAGCTTTGAATGTTACAGGTTAAATAAATTTGACTCAATTTGTAATTCAGAAAACTTGACTAACTGAATCCCGATTTAACAGAAAAGGTTGCACCTCCCCACAACTTTTCGCAAAAATATGACATGTCTATATTCAGGCCACTGGTCGAGATAGCTGACTTTATCAGAGAAAATGGATTTTTTGTTGCTCAAAATATTCAATCCATGACCCACACATCTAATTAAAATGCATTTAAAATGTATAGCCATATTAATTTAATTGTGTTGGTTGAACCTAACTCACCATTATATCGACAAAATAAAAGTATTATATTAATGCTCTATAATACCATGGCAACCCTCGTACATAAAAATAGTGATAAACTGCCGGACTATAACAGGATTTGATTCTTTTTTTTTAGCTGAGCTGTTGTTTTAACACTGGTACTATGATTTTTTTCAAAATATGGCTGTTAGAAAAATACCAAGGTCTGCGAGCATAATTTACAAAAATGAATTATTGAATACTATATTTACAATCATTTCATAGCTCATATATCATCATAATTAGGGAGACGAGTGTGAGAATTAGGAATAGATATTTGAATGGTACACTTTTTTTTTCGGTCAGAAATTTGAGTTGCGAATTCACTTTTTAGATTTTGATTAGCGTCTAGTAGCAATGATCACATATTAAGTTAACATTTTTTTCCCACTTTCGCAAAGTTCCGAACGAGAAAATAAATAATTATTGAAGTCTTCCGAGATAGGGAGAATTTGCGAAAATATAGTTTACACTTTATTAGCAGCTTTTTCAGTCCTCCTGAAATTTCAAAAGATGGGGGTTCAATAAACCTCGCTGAGCTAGAGTTTGTATTTAAGGTTCAAATTATTAGGCATTATTAGAGAGAGAGAGAGAGAGAGATTTATTGATTCGTCAACCAAAACAAATATAAAAGCATAAATACAAATAAATAAACTCTTGTTTATGGTAAAGACTGGAGGGAGCGATACGACCATACGGTCATCCAAGTCAGCTCCCCCCATATTCACTGTTATGCATAAGATTCACAGGTATTGAATAGAGTAGATTGGATTAGATATAATAGAGTATTATACACTCAAATAATTTTATTATTACGTTATTATTATGTCAGTCTGTCAATACTGCAGTGATTTACAACTTTCAAAAAAATACAAGTTTTATAATAAAAAAAATAGCTTAAGCCTGGCCCACGCAAGATGTTATTAGATAGCTCAGGTACGGTACTCATAGATAGGGCTGTGCCGACTCCGATGAGTCGTTTTGCGCTGTTTCGCGTTCTTTGCGGTGTTTCGCGCTGTATTCAGTAAGTAGTAAGACCCCCGGTACTGTTATTGATTAATATTATTTAAAATAATTTGGACGTTATTTGGCTTGTTGTGGCTTTTATTTGATGAGTGAAGCAGGCCTAGCCCACCTCTTCATACATCCAACTTGGCAATTCTGATTGGGCAATTTGGCATTAGGTGACTCCAATTATAATCAGCTTGACGATATCTTTTGAGGAATACTTTTCTATCCACAATACATTACTCTTGTTGACTAATTCGGTATCCAATTTGGCAATCCTCATAAAATTATTAATTTGGTGTGGCAAAAGAATTTATTCATTTTTTTTTATTTGTTTGTAGAATATATTTTCCTTCCTTTTCACTTTTAAGTCTCGCTTTTTTCGCTTCCGACAGTATCATGTCTCGATGATTGTGTGTGTGTGTGTGCGTGCGTGCCTTAATTAGTTTTTTTTTTACTTTTGGGTGAGCGAACACGTACTACTTCTTTTATCAATACCTTTCCATCTAAAATCTGTACGTTTCAAACCTTACTCTAGGTTTTGTTCGCTTTCCCGATTCTATAATCAGTTACTTTTATCTATTTTTTTATCGTCTATTGCTGATTACGGAGTCGAAATAAACTTATACTTCTAAAAACCTAAAAAAAAACATGGGCTGCCAATGAGGCACGCAACACCCGAAAGATCGTACCACCAGGTCGGTTGCCGGTGCTACTGCTGCATACATCTATTTGCAAATTACAGCACGCGGCTGGTAGAAGGTTACGTAGCTCATTTCACGGGTTCTGCACCGATATAAACCACATAATAGACGCAGCAGAAGAAATAAGACTGAACTTTCTGGAAATTTAAAAGGGAACTAACCTTGTAAATGGCCTTACGTGACTCGGTAGTGCACGGAGTCTGAATACGCGAGAGTTGGACTGCGGTTAATACAAATTTATCCCACGAGAGAAGAAAGTCGATATACGACGAACCACGGACACTCATTCGGTTACCAGTCCATGTCGGTCATAGGATTAATTAGCCATTTATTTGTTTTTCAGATGCATGGAATTGATGGTCGAGGAATCCGGTCACCTACCATGTGTCACCCTACGACGGCGGGGTTGATCGTCGGCGCGCCACACCGCCGAGGTTGTCATCATCGCCGCCACAATAAGATAGGTTTTGGTAGGGTAGTGGGACATTAAACTGACTATCTACTATCGGAAAAGACATCATTAAACCCCAATTTCGTAGATATATTTAGATCCAAGGAATACCCGCTTGAGGCAACAAACTCTATAGCTTTCCCAAACCCAATAATATACCACAACTTTGTTATTTGCACAGTGGTGGTGAATGAATTATTACATCGAGCAGAAAGAAAAAAATAGCAGCAGGAGTGTGACAAAAAAGAAATAAAATCGAGAAGTAGCAGAAAACAGAGAAATAAACATAGAACATTATTTTTATAGAAAAAACAGAGGCAGTGGAACATTTCAAACAAGAATCGGGTGATATTATTTTGTTACAACATTGAGAGCAAGTATATTCTTGTAAAGTCTCCATGTTAGAAACAAGAGAATTGAGACATCTCTTTGTCCAAAACCGGATTTTACAAATCCATAACTGATAAGATTAATCTAGTAAACAAAAACTGAGCAACACACTAACTCGGCCATAAATAAGATACCAGGCCTTCGCCTGGTATGCTGAAATTCATATCTAAACGGTTGCAAATCATTTTAAGCTTTTCTTCTGTGCAACAGGAAAAAGCCACCACAAGCGATAGGTGCTTATGACGTTGTGTTCGACCAGTTGTTGTTGCTTTCACCCATTTCATTAAAGCTTGATAGGCATTGCTTGGATTAACAAAACATGTTCGTAGCAAGAATGAAGCAGAAGCACATTGCACAATCCTTGGAGCTAAAACATGAATGAAAAAAATTAACTCAAAATTTGAAAAAACCATTTCATAACTTGTATTGAATGATTATGTATTAAATTTTATCATCAATGACAATATTTCACGAATTTAATTAACCAAAAATTTGACAGCATATGGATATTGGTCACTATCCCAACAAATCCTGATTCAATTGGGGGTTGTATAAATCGTAATCGCCAACTGTGAACAATTTCCACATTGATTCTTTCAATGCAAATATGCAATGAGTACTATTGTTACATATTGGTCAAATAAAGAATAAATCTGGCTTGGCTTTTAAATTACGATTTTCAACTATTAATTTTCACAAACAATTAACGATCTCACCTTTTTCCAAATAAAGTGTTGAGAACTGTTCCACCATTCCACATATAATTTTATAATGCGACTGATAGGTTGGCAATGTGTGTTGTGTTTTGTGAGAATGACGCTGTCTCAATAAATACGAAGACAAGAACAATGAAAATGTGTAGATTAGAGCAACAATGCACACATTGGAAACTGAAAATTGAAGAATAAAAATGATCAGACTAAATTTGGAATTCAAATAGAGCAATCTCACACCAAAATTATTTATTCCTGGATATTACAGTCATATCACAATACCCTAATTTGATATATTTGTTAAAAGAGGCATTGTCGTCGTGATGGTCTATCTGTTAAGTGCTGACTTAACCGTGTTGGTATCACTGGTTACACATCAAAGGTTCGAGCTCCCATGCCCATCACCTCAACCAAGGTATGTAGTGTGGTCAGGCGATGTAGGTGAACCTAACCGAAAATATTTCAGTTTGTCCAAACATAGTAGCTACTTACATATCAATGACTGGCCGTGTAGAGCATTGTTCAGAGCAGAAGACGTGAAATAAGAGTCGTATGAAAATTACAATAGCTATTTAGTAACAACAAGAATTTTTCTAAAAATAAAATTCAAAGAATTTCACGCTGAAAGACACTGCAAAAAAAAAAACAATATAAAAAATCTATCAAAGTTACCTTCTCTTCCGTTATCGTCATCACCATGTATATGGATATGTCTGGACCATTTATTTAAGATTGGCCAAAACAACTTGTCCAAAACCTGATAAAAAAAAATTGAATTCAACTATAACTTTACGAAAAACACAATCTACATGTATCGTAATCATGGACCTGCGATGATAGACGCTAGACAATCACAGCAAATGCGCAACATGCACCACAGCTTGACGACCAGCGTTCCGATCGGTGTTTTAAAAATTATGTATTAGATTTGTGAGAAATGTGTCATGTTAATCTTTGAAATTCATATATACATATAGTTTTTTATTTTTGCTGTGATTCCTTGCAAAATAATGATAAACATTTAGTAAAATAAGTTATAACTCAATATTCACATTACATTTATTTTTGCGGACATAAAAAGTGAGAACTTAGATAGTGGCATACATTGGTAATTATGACCTTTAAACTGTACTGTCGTGCGTTCTTATGTCACATTCTTGTATTGTTATCAATCTAAAAGTTTGGCATGGTTTTCTAAAAAGAGAGGATCCGTTGCTAGTGAGTAAATTTCAATAGAGAATTGAATTCCACAACTGGTTTGAATTTTTATAAAAAATTAAAACATTACCACTGATTTAACAATTTCCATTGTTGATTCCTTTTGTAGTAATTCAAACATGTTTATCGTTAATGTTGTTTTTCCATCAAAAACTGTAATGGGCAACACAGCATCAGTAGTATCAATACCATTTTCTACTTTGCGCAAAAATTCTTCGAATTCCCCCGAAAATTTAGCTTCCACTATACCAGATAATGGTTCATCAAATGCTTTCATTTGTATAATCTTATCTACTTTGCCCCAGCTGCATTGCTCTTCAATCCATTGAACCTGATATATGAAAATTGTTAATAAAAATCAAGCACTTTGTAATTCTCCACAAAGAAAGATAAACAAGATGAAGAGCCCTAGTTGACCATACCAAATAAAGTGTCCTCGAATTGTGTAAAATTGGATGGAATTTCATATTCAAAAGAGGATTAAAGTAGAAGTTCAATTCTATCATGTGGCATTGCATCAACTTTTAATCGGTTACAAATTCGAATTATATAAAGAAAAAAAAACTAGCTTGTACACAAACCACCCCACAGGCCACAACGTGGAGATATTCTGGAATCTTATTGAACAGTATCGTTCTTATGATTTAAACCTGCAAGTCCATGCATAAAAAATAATGTTACAATGCTGGTTATGTTGCTGACATATAACACACATTGCACTAAATGTTGAACCACTCTGCAGAAAGTGCGATAATACTAAAAAAAGGTCCTTGAAATCTAAGGTCGTTGTCCAGGAAAATATATATCGATTAGAACTGTCGATAAATTCATATAGAAAAAGATTTAGCAAAAGATAACAATATATTGTACCAATAAATACCTGTCTTGACAATTCAAGAACTTTTTCGGCATCAGTGATAATGAGAGGAGATGTTAGTTGTCTTTTTATGATTCGTATAACTGAAAAAAATAAATTATCAAAAAAATATTATCACATATTTCAACATATAGGTTCCATTTCACTCTTAACTTATTGCAGTGGCTAGAAACTACGAATGTGACGAGTACGGTACTAGTCGAATCCGCAGATTCGATTCAAATCTTTTTGGTCTGTAATATCATGATGGAAACATGAAAAAATATAAAAAAATGAAAAAAAAATAATTTTAACGAAATATTACTTGTACTGGCCTTTATAGAGATCAATGGACAATGCTCATAATGTAAGCGTCAATGAACAAACACAATATTGATTCAAGGACTCGAAAAATTATGTGGACTCGATATCAAATTAGAGGCCTAAAATGCGTGAGTGCAAATCAAATACGAATCTCATCACAACATTACTGTAGTGTAAACTATAAAGATAAGTATGATTTTTACAATTCAACACATTCAAGATTACTCACTTGATTTTCCAATCCCAGGATACAATGTTAATGCTTTTGGCCAACACAATAAACCTTGCAATAAGGTAAAAAGTATTTGACCTTGCTGCCATATCAAACAGTATCTACAAAATGCATAAAAAGACGACAATGAGGAGCTAATCCTGCATAAGAAGCTGATGACTCGTACGAGGGAGAATGTTTTTGCATGACCTTCATACATTGAAAGATCGACTCCTTCTGGCACAAAATCACTTTTTAATCTTGATAAGAGCTGCAGTCCAGTAGCTGTTCTATCATTTGGAAAATGACAAGGAGCCATTTGTGGAAAACTGAAAAAGCAGTACAGTGGATTAGGACAATGTTGAAAATCTGTTAATTAATATCTTAATCTATAACGAGTAATATAGAGAAATAAAAAACACCATCAAATTGGATGAATATTAACCCAATTAAGAATTAACGATTCTCGAATTAATCATAACGAAACCATGTTTTTTTCCAAATTAGGGTAACAAAATTATCATCAGCAAAACAACCCATAAGAATAATTTGCTAAATTTAATTCAGTAAATTTGACATTATAATTATGCTACAAAATTTAGTAAAATTTTCAGGTCATTTTGAAAAAGACATTTTAGCGCGCAATACGTGATTATTATAGTCTATATTTACAATACAAAGCAGGCAAAAATTTCGTCTGTGGCTCTGCAGTAAAAATTACCCCATGCATAAAAATAAAGCAATATCAAAGTGTTCACACAATTAATTATTTAGCACTTATACAAAAAGAGATATCAATACTTACTACATAAAGATTTTCAATAATAATGGAAGAACCATAATTTCGATGAATTTTCCATTGCAAATTCCAGTAGTTTGAATCAATCTCATTCGTTTGATATAAGCACACTCATGATGAGAAAGATCAGTGACCAGAAAACCATCATAAATGTTAAAATCATTTTGAAAAATGTTAATACTGCTGCCGGTTGATCTCTTCAACATATTGAAAACACAAGAAGGAAGCTGGAAATGAAACAAGTAAAAATTTATGGAAAATTGAAATAGGTTAGAACGAAGATGAATTTCCATATTTCCAGGTCGCTTTTCTGGATCCAATTTTTTGGCCTCATTTATCTTTTTTTGTGGGGTCATATTGGGCGTCTATGCTTATTTTATTTTTTCTGGGGTCAGCTTATTTTTTACACAAGTCTTCTCTAACATGATATTTATGTGAATTTTATATCTGTATTGATGTATTTTATAATGTAGGATTGGTTTACTGATTGAAGTGATTCCAGATTTCTGTCAACTTTATATCAAAAGCAGAATTAAACTAGATACTTAAATTTTATCTGAAACTTAGCATCTTTATTTCTGCGTGACTGAGTGTGCCCTGGCTCTGAGCAAATTTCATTAACAAAAAAATTTTCTATTGCAATTTTTGTCAAGACATTGAAATTGGCTTGCTGTACAATAAAATTACAATTTTGCTGTAGTATTGATGAAAGACTGAATTCTGACAATTTACGTAGTAGTATCGTTCACTCAGGTACCATGTGAAAAATAGTGCAAGGGTTTAAAGTTGAAACACTCCACAATAATTTTCAAATGGTCAAATAACGGTGGCAACCAAGCATAAAATAAAAAAAGTTGTGAGCTAGATTCTGATGCCTGCTTGTCTAATGCTTTGTTTAGAGTGAGATTTGATGCCAGTCATAAGAAAAAGAATGTTGGAGAATAATAGATTGTTACATTGTCTATATAATAATACTATCTATAATAGATACTTACAAAATTTTTATGAAACTTTACATCCAGCTTCTTGTTTTGTTTGTGACTCAACAAAAGAAAATTAACGTCTTTCAAGTTGTTGATGACAAATTTTCCATCAATTTCAGACGATTCCGTAATCCATTGTTTTGATGTAACCAGTGAGTTATTATTTTTAGATGACGGAAATATTTTGGTGGAAGATGAATTTGATTTTAAAGGGTTTTCTTTAGTTGCGACATTGGTTTTCTTCTTTGATTCAAAAGAGTCAACCAACATACTCAAAGGTAAATCATCACTATCATCATCTGTTTCATTTGCTGTTATTTGCGATGCAACATTTACATCAGTTTGTATCGTTGACGGTTCAGTTTCTTCAGAAGTTGGCGGAATTTGGCTTTTGTTTGGTGAGCGTACAAACTTTACATTCGCTGTATCGCAGGTAGAAATACGAATCTGTTCCGACAAATCTGCACTTAAGCACACTACCGGTTGATTTTGAGGACTAGAAATTCTTTTAAATTCAGATCTTTTAATTCTAAAATTCTCATTTATATCACTTCGAGTATGTACTAGGTTACTAGATGAGTTTAATTCTTCAGCTGTAGAAGTATTAGTTTGTGCAGGAATATGTGATGCAGATTCATTCAATTTATTACTAGAATGAGAAGGATTGACATCAATTTGGTTTTGCTGTTCAGTTTCGTTCTGTTTTTCTTTCTGAAAATCGTTTTTGTTATCAGACAGGTTTGATTCAATGTTTACTAAAATATCCATAGAATTTACTGATTTTTTGACAGCATTTGCTGCAGACTCCATTATAGAATCATTCGCATGATTTATATTTTCTTGATTATCTTCGTCAGAATTCTCATTGTCTATTTCTAAATTCTCGGCATTACCTTTGTTTCTATTTGATGATTTGTCATTAGACTTCTTTTTACGGTTACCAGATTTTGACATGGGTATGTCCATAACTGTTGCATTTGATATCTTCATATCATCATCTTCAGAAAAATCCATAATTAAATTACCATCTTCTGTGGAAGAATCACATGATGCATATTCAGTATGAGAAGCATTTATTGCATTATCGTTGACATCCATACAAATTGAATCAGTAGGACCAATTTTGCTAGATTCTGAGGGCTTTTGTATTTCACCCGGAATGCTTACAGAAGACCTTGAATCTGGTTGAACTTGCTCAGTACTAACTTCTTCTGAATTGTCATGATCAGAACCAACAAGACTTTTCATCTGATGATCGTCATAATTATCACAGTTCAAACTTATGGTTTCAGCACATACACTTCCTGTAGGATCAGATTCATTATTTTGCTGGGGTATTTCTTCATCTGGACCGCTTTCCATATCAGTTAACAAAGGACTAATTGCTGTCATATCATTTAGCCATGTTTCTGCATCAAAATCATTTGGTGTCACACAACCCTCTATGCCTGTTTGGAAATCTATTTCATCCGCTACCATATTTCCTTCACTACCAAATGATATATTATTAATATTTGCTAATTCAACTTCAATATCTCCATCATTTTCACTTCCAGTTAAAATCTCTAGTGGATTATCAGAATTTTCCGAAAAATTCCTAATTTTTTCTTTGTTGCTATCTTTGTGTGATACAGAAGAATGCCAATGAGATGGGACATCCCCTTCTTTTCTGTGTGGTGGCAGGCTGCAAGTCTTCCTTAAATCTTTATTTTTGTTGAAAATGAGCGGAGATTGAACATCAAATGACGCACCTTTGACAATTGGTTTTATTGGACGAACATTTACAGCCCTCTCTGGCGCTTCGCAACTAAATCGTCTGGGTTTTAAAATGTCCTTTGCAACACTCCCCGTTCCAAAAAGGAGTGATTTTGAGCAAGATGGCTGGTCAGCAGATGATTTTAAAATGATGTCGTCACTCAAAGATGAAGGACTTCGCAGAACAGAAGCGATTTTGATGACAGGTGGTTTTAAGGAATTTTCAATGGAGGCAATTTTATCTATATCCAAAGTATTCTTGCTAAAATCTTTAGATGGTGTTCCGAAGTTGATTGCAGTACACAACACAGTGCTTGGCGAAATGGAATCTCTACCTTTAGCAGAATCTGTTATATTAACATTTATGGGTGGATTTTCTGACGATGCCACAATTTCAGAATTGCTGATTGATTGTTCTTCTTTTTCTGCCTCTCCAATCTTTTCCACTTCATCTACTTGAGAAATTGAATCATCACATTTGGCAGAATCTGGAGTATTAAGATTTAAATCAATGCTTTCTGGCAATTTCATAATCTCCTCTTCAATATTGTTACTTGTTTTTTCTTTCTCTGTCTGTCCAACGTCCAAACTTTCTTCTTCATGATCTATAAACTCATCTCCCAATGGTGTAGTTGGCAAGGGTGATATTGCATTCCCAACATCAAAAGTCATTTGTTTCATAATTTTGTTAACACTGCAATGCCATTTATTCAAATCAGTGAGTGAACTGATGTCCTGATCCCCAAATTCGGAGCTTGAAGTTGACATAGGCGATTCCAAATAGACAAGATCTTCAACAATTTGAGGAATAGTATTCTCGTCTTTCGAGTTTGATTGTTTGTTGTTGTGAATAGGTCTCAAATCACTACTTATTTCACATATCAGATCTTTTTGCATGTCTAACGTGTCGAGTTCGTTTATTTCAAAATTCTTATCTGAAAGGGTTTTTTGATAATTTTTCTTCTTGTTAATAAGCTTTTCTTCTTTCTTTATAGCAACAGACTTATTATTCCTTTGCTTGACGCTTTTCGTATCCTTAATTTTCTTCTGTCGTTGTAAAGCTTTTGCACCATCCTTTGAACTTTCAGATGACGATGAAGTAGTACGATTTCTACTTCCAATTCTCCCGCTTCTTCTGAGGGGGCTAGAAGGGACAGGTAACGTAATTTCATGATCACTGGAACTATCAGTAGTTATAGATCTCGTCCGGGACCGCGTAGAAATGACAGGTGGTAATGCAGTCGGTTCTTGGAATTTCTGCACCTTTTTCGGCCGAGATCTTTCAGAAGATGAACTAGAATTTTTACGTTTCCTCTTAGGCCTTTCTTCGACACAATTATCATTAATAATGTTTTTATTCTTGTCATGAACTTGAGTGCTCCCAGTTTCAACTCTAGATATTCTTGGCTTATGATGAACAATGTTAATGTTTGTGTCATCCACATCCTTTTCACTCAAACTCTTAGTATCCTGCGACTTTAAATTTTCTGTACATGTCTCCATATCTTTTTCCAGTGACAATGTTGTACCCATCTCTTCATCTACTGATAATTCAGCCTGACGAATTTCAGAGTTTTTGGGTGTTTGAATTTCAGTTAGATTGATATCATCATTATGAGATGTATTTTTGAAATTCTCTATTTCATTTTGTCTGTTTTCATTCGTGTTATGTTCGTCAGAATTAATAATATTTTCTATAACAGGCATTTCAGAAATATGCTCCACAGTCTTCTTCTTAGTAACTTGCGATTCTCCAATATCACTGATGTCAGGCATTTCCGAAACATAATCTTCGACGGGTTCATCATTATCAGAGGAAACCAGAACTTGTGAACTATTGTTTTCTATTGTGATTAGAGCAGAGTTGTCAGCTTTTGGACTGTTTATACTATCAACTTGACTGCTCGAATTCTTATCGATTTCCGAGTTTTCTGCTTCGTCAGATAATGATTCCACATCAATAAAATTATCTTGATTATCCGTTGATGCCGTTACAGGAATTTTGATATTTTTTCGTTGTACTTTATTCTTATTATTACCAGACATTTTTGAGATTTTGAAATTTCTTTTCTGAGTTTTTTGTTTATCCTCTAAATTTGTGACTTCAGAATCAGAATCTATTAGTGTCAAATCAACAATAGGACTTTCAGAAGTTTTATCCAATGCTTTTCCATCTATATTTGACGTCTTAATATCATCCGATAATGAAATCACTGTTGCGGTAGAATTACTAAGTTTGGTATGATTATCCTTATTGGTGATTTCATCAACTTTATGAGTTTTTTTGCTGACATTGAAAAGAGAAGAGCATGATGATTCTCGAGGTGAAACATCTGGAGACGTTACTTTCTGAGTAGACGAAACATGACACTCTGGCATATCCATTGGTTTTGTCTTTCGATCACCATCAGATGCACAATGCTCTGATGTAGACAAATATGTTTCTGGTAGTGAATTAATTAAGCTATGAAGCCATGATTGCTGCTCTTCTGAGAACATTCCCTAAAAGAGTGAAAGCAACATTTTTTTATCAGGTATAGTGTATTAGTTGCATTTATATAACAAATATGACAAGTTTATACTTTTGCAGGTGTTTTCAAGAGATTAATGGATGACATAACAGCTAACTAATGACAGTATTTTCTTGCGAAAACATAGGATTTTTATCATCATCTGGCTCATTTTACCAGCCTGGGTCGGGTAATTATGAAATGATAGATTACTGGCAATAATTGCCTCCCCAATACAATTACAGGATACCGAAGATTAGAATATATGCTTTACTGGCTACAAGACAACCTATTCAAAGAATGTTATAAAGCAGATGTGTGCAACAGTTTTTTTTTCGGTGAGCCATATAACCAACTTCAGACATCTAGCTGGGCCACACAGCTGGGCTATTGCTTAGCCTTACAGTAAAAAGCAGTTACAATATTTTAATGCAGTTACAATAGCCAAAAATTATTATATATTTTACCCATGTGAGCATCTTTTTAAACAAACTGCCGGATGGCACCTCTGTTATAAAGTCTCTTGGAAAATCATTCATAAATAATATAATCATGCAATGAAGACAATAAAAATTAGGTTACCAACCTTATGTAATTTATATAATTTGTTAATCACAAGTGTTTCATAAGTTTGCAGAAACTGCTTTTCACAGAATTCAGACACGTATGCCATTAAATGTTCAATCGATTTTTCCTTCCCAAATGAAGATTCATTTGTAAATTTATCTTTCCATGTAATGGCCAACTCGTGCAATTCTAAGAGCTGGTTTTGCGTAGGACGCCTCCTAAATGATGTAATCGCTCTCTGAACGACAAAATTTTAAAATTGAGGCCTCTGGTCAGTAAAGCGGACTGGTCTGTCCACCCATACCAACTATATTTAAGTATAACAATTTTGGTATACTATAGGCCTATAGGGTGTACATAAAGTCTTAAAATATTTTAAAACTGCAAAGGGAATTTATCGATACCCTATATTGTTTTGGCTGTCACAGAGTTAGGACCCTGGACATTTACCCACTATCTTTATGTGTAAAAATTTGGGTAATTTTTCAACGAAATGTATCAATATTCCCATTTGTAAAAATGTTTGCAGTGAAGATAAGGAATGAAAATGTCTCACCTTTCTTTTCATCTCCATCATTCGATCTTTATATAGTTTTTTCTTGTTTTCACTGACATGTGGAAGAACGCTTGTACTTGACACAACATCGTCAGCAATGTCTTGAGGTTTAGAATTATCAATGATCATTTCATCAGCAGAATCATCAGTAGTGCTTGTGATATACGCTACCTTTTCCTTTGAATAAATTTAGAAAAAACAATTTAATTTGTAAATTACTTATATGAAAATGAAAAAATATTGAACTTCTGTTTGTGTATGATTGTAACCAAAAGTATCAAGAATCTAATTTGCACAAAAGTTGTCATTCTCACACATTCTCTGTAGAATATGTTCAAAATGTTTTTCAGTTACTCTAAATATTCATGTATTGTAAATTATATTAGGAAAATGGCCAACTATGAAAAAGACAGCATTTTTAGTCATCGGAATTACAAATAAAAATTTTTTTTTGCTAGTATCTAATCATAGTTTGAGGCAATATTTGTGAAACTATTTCAATAAAACTAACAGTAGATCAGAAGCAAAAATATACATTTTCCTAATTTTCTCAAAACAGCTTTTCCAGTTTCACCCTTACACGTTGAAAAGCCAGCGGCACTGTAATATAGCCTATGAGTGTACTTCATAAACCCAATATAACCTACTAAAATTTCGTTAAAAAGTACAGTGTCAATACTATAGGATCCTCCCAGAGTTATTTATTTCTGGAATAAACTACATGTCAGCACAATCCACATTACTCTTGTCTTATTATATTTACCACCCTAAATAATCACAAGATCAATATGAAAAAGATTGAGAGACAAATGTACCTACCTGCTTTTGGTCTTTATTTGATGAAATTCTGTGACTTCTTCTGGGAACTTCAAATACTGTATTATCAAGATTAGTCGGGTTGATCTGCCAAAAAATAACCTTTCATTAAAATTGAATAAAACAGTAAGAATTATTGAAATTTGGATAAACACCATTGTAGAATTCATAAAAGTGAAATGCTCAAAGCCTTGTTAGGAATGCCAATATGGAAAACACTGGAAAAATACTTCCCAGTTTTCAGTGCTGTTAAGAACCACAAACAAATCCTATATGACGCTCATTCAGGGATGGCCAATATCGAATAGTTCACTATTTCGAATACATTCGAAATTATTTTTTTTCGAATATGAAATTTCGAATACTTCAAAAATAAAATCCACTAATTGAAGCTTATCTAAATGTATGTAAGAATTTCCATATAATAAGCAATGGAATAACTGCTATCTACAAGTTACAACCTAGCTATATTACCAGGCATTTCATATTTGCAGATTATTGCAGTATATATTTTATATACCACGAGTCATGTTAACAGAATTAAATTAATACGGCAATAGTGGTATCGATGCTGGATTTGAATATTTGCGTAACACAAAATCATCCTAGTAAAAAGTCCATACTCTTAAATACAAACCAATGGCAACCATTATCCAAATTAGTTCCCAAGAGTGGGATAAAGTATAAATTCTTTTTCCGTCTTGTGACAATTTTTCGTAAAATAAGAATCAAAAACTAATTATATTTTTAAAATGCCTGACCGTGTTAATTTAATTCTATTATCATAACTCAAATGTTGGTAAATCGGGCAGTTTACCACATATTTTAAGGCCACAGATCGCCGTTGCATTTTAGAATTATAATAGTTTTATTATTTTGTAAATACGAATCCGAAATTAATTATAATTGGGCAGTTTACCACGTATTTCATGTCCACAAATACCCGTGGTATTTGGTATTAATACTTTCATTATTTTATCAATATAAAAATGGGAATCAATGATTAATAATATCGGTCAGTTTACCACACATTTTATGTCCACATATTGTCGATACAACCATGAGTTACATTGAACAGAATTAAATTAATACGGCATGACATTTTAAATTCTGGTACCAGTCATGGATTGGATTATTTTGCGCAACAAAAAATCATCCTGCTAAAGGATCGATACTTTTAACTATCGTTATCAGAATTATTTGCCAGAAATTATTTTCTAATAAATGACTTGTTTTTCCAACTTGTGACAATTTATTGGATATCGTAACAATTATGGCTATAAATACCGTATTTCCCGGCTAATATGTCCACATGGCAAATAGGACAATGTCTATTTTTAGCACTCAAAAAAGGGTTTTTTCCATACAGGCCTCCAATAAGACAGGGTAGAAAAATTGTGTCCCTGTTGTTCAGTTATGCTGATATGCGCTAATAATTTTATTATGTTTAGAACCAGATCATGTTAGTTTGGTAGAATCATACTTACAGAATTAACTATTTTTAACAATTGAGCGGTAAATTTAAGTTGTAAAACGGCAATCATTTTGGACAACCTATTAACCCGAATGTTGAAATAATTTTGGAATGTGATAAGTAACACACTGTACGGTCCACGGGTTATTTCACAGCTGTGTTTTCCTGTCCCTGTCGTGTTCTGCTGAATCGGCAAAACGAAAGGGTCACAAATCACTTTATCTCGGTGGCCGTGTTTCTCTTTATTAAAGTAACGATAACCGGTCTGCGATTAAATATCATGATGGCAGACCCTAAGACCCAAATATAAGGTTACACAAATCATGCTTGAGAAGACTCATGCGAATAAAAACAGACCACATAGAACTACATACTTTCTCAATTAGACGCCCCCCTAGAAAAGCGACTTATTGCCGGGAAATACGGTAATTGTCAATTTTTCGACGTAATGGAAATTAATTTGTAAATTAAAAGCCTCGTAGACGAATGTCGGCAATGTCCACCCACGCAAACGTGTCGCAACACTATGCGACGTACGGTCGCACAGAATATAAACAATCAAAGTGCCGATTGTCATTACAATACGTGAGACAGCGTAAAAAGTCGTTTGAAGATTCCCATAAAACGAAACACCACGATTACGGCGAAAAGTTTGGACAACCCTGCGCTCATTCACACCTTTTGATTCGAACAATGTTTGAACAAGCATCTACTGATGTCTGATATTACATAAGTGCTACTATTTAAAGCCTACCCAATTTATTACATCCAAGATGAGGTGGTGGGTCGTGGATTTAAACCAGAAATGTGCAGTTTAGTTCAACGCTTCAAGTGTTAGGCCTGCACATCTCTGAAATGTTTACAAAGCAACTATTAACCACTCTATACCTGTGAACTTGTTACGTCTGATCCCATTGATAAATTGCTCTCTTCATTTTGATAAAAATTCATGGATTCATCCTGATCGTTTGATGACTTCATTTCCGCATCACTTGACATTGTTATATTTTTAGTGCTGCCATCTTTAGACACTGAAGAAAAAAGCTAGATAATTGATGTAGGCAATTATTAAGTAGTTAAGCTTCAGTTAAAAACAATATTGGGTGCTCCCGAAGTATCCGAACCAAGATGGCGGACATCGGAACGTAACATGGGTAACAGGTTAGGGTTAGGCAATAATTTTTTTCCAATTTTCCTTATTTTAGTCCTATTATCAGTTCGAAGACTAGCCAAGAGCCTCCCGTAGTATTTAAACCTAAAATTATGGCCTAACCCTAACCTAGTACACATATTACATTCCGATGTCCGCCATCTTGGCTCGTATACTTCGGGAGCCCCCAATATTGTATCGTAATCAGCTATAACATTGTATCTTCACTTTTAGGCTCCGGCCAGTAATGATCTGCATTAACAGCGTCAACAGTTATTAGAAACTTATATACAGAGTGAACGCCCAAAAAAAAAATTAGAACCCAGGTCATTTGGACCATATTCTTCAGAGAACATAAATTCTGTACAAAGCGTCCTAGATTATTGACGTTTTTGGATATAATCATGCATAAACAGAAATTCAAGTGTTACATAAAAAAATTTCTTCATTTTCAGTCTATTTAATGAGAAGTTTCTAAGTTTGGAGTAATTTTTAGGGTCAAATGGTATTTTATTTCGATAAGCAAATCAGCAAACTGCAAAACAGAACAACTGCAAAACACAAATTTCAAAAGCAGTTTATGGATACAAAGTCTGAAATTTCTTCAGCATACAAAACTTCCAACAGCCTTTCCAGTTAGCAAATGATAGCTCTGTTTAATATTACTCAACCAGAGAGCAATTTTGTTCTTCTTTTGTATTTGATGTAGTATTACTGATATTCTTTCGTTCCTTGTTTATCACTACAATACTTTTCACACACATAATAAACTATTTAAACTTTACAAAAGCAGGAGTGCGACTTGCGTATAGCACTAGCTAAGAATCTATTAAAGATTGAACAAAGAAGTAGTTTTTCTGCATAGTAAAGGAGAAATAAAGAATTCAAAACAGGCAAAGAAAGGAATACAACAAAAAAGGTTGGGACTACTGCCCTTAGCAGATAGGATACGGACACACAGAGGACAATTAACAAATATTAAACAATTTCTTAAGTTCTACCATTTAATGCTGTAGATGTGAATACAAAACATACATGATTTACTAATTCTTCTTATTCTATTTTTACTCTCTCGTAATTTGCTGATGGTGTCTCGTAGATTCCGATTCCTTTTCTTCAGTTTTTTGTTCATTGAACTTTTCTCACTTAGTTCATCTCTCAAACTATAAAAAAGAAATAACAAATGTAGAAAGAAAAACAGTCATGACGTCACTGAAACTATTATAAAATTTCATTATGGATAAAACGTAATGTTATCCTTAGTGAAAGATTTGTTACAAAAAAAAGTTTTTAATGAATTAATTACAACAGAACACAGCATGTAATTACCATATACTACAATTTAACTGATTAGCAAAGCATCACTTCAATCAACTATTAATTCATGTATGGTACGCTCAACAACTGCAATGAATCTATGTTAGCATTTGTTGCTAGTGGGAAAAACCCTTTAATAAACTGGTATGGTAAAAAAAAGCATATATAATTCGAAAATTACCAAATTTCATAAAGGAATTAGAATTTATTCACCACTGCTGTGATTATATTGTTGAGGTAATGTATAGTTAGCTAATATGTTTTTTTTTCTATTTTTATGTATACACAAATAATGCTTAACTAATGTATTATTAACTTGTAACATCTTGATATCACTGAATTGATATTACGGATTATATATGGATTATTGAACATTGGAATACTGAAAAATGGAAACTACGTCGGATATTATGGATTACAATTTGGATAATAATGATTGTAAAAAAAAAATTTTCCCATTATTTCTATGATTATTACTGTATCACATAAAAAAAAAAAAAAAAGCATATATAATTAAAACCCAATACATGGTTTCAGACATTGAAACTAATCATCAAACCAATCATACATATTGATATATACATACTCTGTGATCTCTTTTCTGTGTTTCTTTTTTAATTCAAAAACCATCCCAGTATCTTCTGCCTTTAGTATTTTAATTGATTCCTCATGAATTCTTCTCGACTCCTAAATAAGCAATAAAAAAATATAAACGTTCTTTGTTTATTTGCTATCACCAAGTCAAGGTATAAATTGTTTTTGTATTTATTTGAATTTGTTTTTAATCGTATGGCGAAAATAAATGTCATTCACATAAACAATAGAAATTATCATTTTCCTGCAAATGTTGCCATTTGGGCATAAATCATGACTTATATCATGATCTCCCCCCACAAACACAATCCACTTGAAAAGTTCAAAATTGAATTTGGCTGCAATGATGAAAGTCTGAAACACTTAAATACAAAGATCTGTACCTATCACATAAAATTTGGTAGAAATAACTTACATCCATTCCATGCAATTGTGCTTTTAAACTTTCAATAGTTTCTTTCAATGTTATAACCTCATTTCGAAGGTTCGTCGTTTCAGTGAATGAGGGCTCTTCTTTTGATAATAGCAACTAAAAATTAAATGAGTATGTGACAGAGGTTGGAATAGTCGCCCGAAACACAGAAAATTAAAGACATAGGTAATTCTGTAGTTATCTTTCGTACCAGCAAAAATTGAAAATTTTATTTTACTTTACTGCAAATCTGCAATCACAGTAGTATGGCAACCTATATATTACATTTATAATACAAAGTTGGGGAATCACCTCTAGCTGAGACTGGATAAGATGTCTGTCCTTGGTTGTTTGATTTAATTTTTCAGTATTCTCTTCTAATTGCTTTTTACATGTTTGATACATTTGTATCAGGTTACTGAAATAGAAAGATTATTGAACTGAAAGTAAGAAGAGATGCATGTTAATGATAAGCAAACAATCGAATGAAAGCTGCTCCTATCAAGCTTATGATGAGACCTCATTTTTTCAATACAAAAAGTTTAACATAAATACAGAGACTACGAGAGTGTGGTATTAAAATATATACTATTCAACTGTATTTTAGCAAGAAATTAAATAATGTCAAAGATACCGGGTATTGAATTACAGAGTCTCCTGAAGTACACACCGCAAGTACTTCTAGTTGGCCTGGCTCAACAATTTTTGCATATGTCATTCCTCAGAAAATTACATCACTGCGAAGTCGCAGTAACGTAATACGACCCTCCAAAGTATGCGAATGGCCGCGCAGACAGTCATCCGAAGCGATACCAATAAGAGAGGGATCGCTAACGTTAGTGAGTTCTTCATAGTCGGCACAGATGCCATTTTGGACGATCGTAGCTATACTTCAGCAAGCTCTATGACGCGATTGTGATGTCACAGTGATGTAAATTTCGGGTGACGTACTCCGGTGGGTGTTAGGAATATTATATTGATAGAATCGTTTTGCTACGTCCACTAGAAGTACTTGACGTGGTGTACTTCAGGAGACCCGAATTAACATAAATATGGAAGTATTACTGTTATTCTCTAACTTATAGGCCTATCAGTACGACACATTTCAGCATTTACGAATAACTGTGCCCTACTATATATGGTCTACAGATGAACAAAAACAGAAAAGGGTAAAACTCACTCTGTGAAAAAGATCTTCTGCTTTATGGCCACAAAACTGCGAGTATATTTGTCCTCTATATCCTAGAAAGATAGATGGATCAATAACTGAATAATGTAAAAACAATGTCTGAATCTGGTGATTCTCTAGCCTCAGATCCTGCTATCGCTTGATTTTGGGAAATGGATTTGTTGAAATGCTGTGATGGTACTGAATGATGGTTGGTCAGAGGCAAAATGATAATTATTTTATTGCACTTACTTTTGCTAAATTTGCGCAAGCCTGACACCACTGTGTCTGTGAACTCGACATTGTGGGATTTGTGGATAAAACAGAAGAGCCTGGCACTTCATCAACAGTAGTAGTCCCGGTATATTGTCCTTCCGCCCCAGACTCGTTAAAAAGACTTTGAACAAGATCTTCCATTATTCTTCACGACGAAGGATCATTTAGAGCTACACAGACTTCAATTCCCTGACAGATCGAAACAAGGAAGCTAAATGCATGCAGCTCACAATAACAATCGATAAAACGATGCAAAAACGTAGCACTAATGGTTGCCAGAAATATACTATAAGGGGCATTGGCCAAGTTAAGTTTCAAGCTTTATGTTAAATACGATTTTTGCAACTCCAAGATTATTTACTTTTTTGTTATTTAATTTTGCACCTATTACAACTCAGAACTAATATTGGCAGTTTATATGATATCAAAGACTAAAACATATACTGTATTTGCAAATATTACCGGCAAAGCTGATATAGCAAAATTTGGCAACAATATCTTAAATTTCATAATTTTAGTTTGTTGGTTCTATTTTTGGACGCGATATGGACCTAGCCTAGAATGTTTTCCCGAGCATCGAATTCATTGTTTACTCCGTAACATTGGTTAATCAGCAAGATACCAATCGTGCCGTACCGGTAACGATAGAAATTCAAGCGGACGCTCAAACACTTTTTCCTTTTAGACAGATTTTTAGGTATATTTATTTTGACTGCACAATCAGCATAAAAGGCGATAAAATAATCGATCAATACAAAATAAATGAAAAAGATTTCAGAATCAAGAAAGCGAACAAATAATAAGTACGGTTTAAGATTTTAGATTGGAAGTTGTTGTCAAATAAAGTGACACGTGTTCGCTCACCCAAAAGTAGGCCTATTAAATTATTTGAAACATGCACGCACACACACCTACACATATGTATACAATCACGCAGACATAAGTTTAGGTTTATTTCGACTCCATAATTAGGCGATTGCACACAGACTACTACAGATATATTATAAAGTAAGAAAAAACGAAAAACTCAAGATAAATTACATAGTTAACAAAAAATAAAAATTATAATAAAAATTATTTGCCACACCATATATATTAACAATTTTACCATGGTTGCCATTGCCAAATTTATCGATTTTCCAAACAGGAGTGAACAGAAAAAAAAAAAACTTTACTTTATTAAAAAGAAATCGCCAAGCTGATCATATTTGGAGTTAAATGCCAAATTGCCCAACCAAAGTTGCCAGAGCTTCTTACCCCTCTATGCATTAGTCCCGCAAACTTAAGTGAATATGCAGAATTAACGGCTCAAAAAAAGTGTCCCAACCTTCCCCACTTTCCCCTGTATGCCAACAAGTTTGCTTTGAAATCAAGCAAAGAGGACTTTTCGAGATTCTGGTCATCCCTTTAGAATTCTTACCCACTACTTAGTAAGAAAACTTCTTCATTGCTAGTTCAATATGCCATAACTTATCTGTGCGAATCTTTTTTTTTTCTACTGATCTTGTTACCAACAAAGCAAAATCTAGAAACCGTCCTGTGGTTGACAGTGACAATCGCCTGGCTATATCAAAGCAGTCAAAGACGGTGCCTAATATAAGGAACCTTTTCAGACGTAGTCCCAACAAGCGCAAGATTTCCCAATGATTGTTTACGAAAAAGCTTTGACTTACTTGTCTGTGGTTTGTTTTTGCATTCTATGAAAGGTCGTAAAATACATAATACAATCTGAGACGTCAATTTTTTTTTAAATGATGAACACGGGGGCCACGAGTTCAAAAAGCCTCCGGAGGGGGGCCACGAGCCATAAAAGGTTGGGAACCACTGGTTACATAACATATAGCCTACATGCAGTGGTGGGATTCAAATTTTTTGTCAGCAGGTTCCATCACAAACGTCGTATTTTTCAGCCGGTTCTGTTATGGCATAAATGGTAGATGAATGTGATGTTACCGTATATTGCTAATTTGTAGATTGTCTCAGAACTTGCAAGTCACCCGTTCACACTTCAGCTTCAACGCCCACGTGAATGAAGGAAACTTTAGAAAACTCTGTTTGATTTTATTCTCAGATTTCCACGATACACAGAATATAAAATCTTATAACATTTATCCCTACTAGCTTTGAATGGTATTCATCATCTTCCCTCGAAAGATATCGGAGTAGTATTTATACGTTGATCATAAATCCAATTAAATACTGTAAACGTGAGCTCGTGATTCACGTTATAAACAGAAACTCCTATTATCTCAATAAGGGTAATTAGGTACATCGTACGGATGGGAACTTAGATATAATTATTTCAATCAGTGCCAAAGGTCTTGAGAATATAGATTTTAATTTGATAATGACTGGGTGGAACTTGTTATGTTCTTAAACCTGGTGTAATTTGATTCCTACGAAAGTCTTTGTTCGAATTTTGGGAAAAATTAACTTTGTTTTCATATTTTTAACATGAAATGGGGTACATTTGGGGGTTAGTTGCTATATTATCTCCCCATCTTACTAACTGGAAGTTTAAAGATTTGGCACCCTCTAATAAAGTGAAAATATATACAAAAATACAATACACAATGCTAAAATTAATGATATAGGTCAAAAAAAATATTTACATGTATATGATCTACAATGAGACACGACATTGAAATAAAGAAGAGTTTATAGAAAGAGTAAAGATTGTAAAGTAGAATTACAGAAAGATGGCGTATTTTTATTTGAAAAATTTTGGTTTGGACGGTTAAAACATATTTTCAATTTAATGTATTTCGCTAAGTTAAAATACTTATACTCGCTTTATCGCATTGTTACGATTTTGTAGACCTAGTTGGTCAATATATGCTTGTCCTATGTCGGGAAGAAAAAAACGCATTTTTAAGTTTATGCCATCTCAAGGCTTTTTTGAAAAAATAACGCTTTTGGATACAATTTTTGTTTAACGAGCTTATTATTTTACCGTTCTATATGACGGCTTTGTAAATAATTAAAAGTATGACTCGCTCGAATCTACTTTTAGAAAGCATTTTAATTCTAACGAAATCTATTTAATCGAAAAGGAATGCTAACCACAAATATTCAATAATATAAATTTCTTAAAAGGTATTTGAAATTAGAATATTCAAAGTTTTACCATTAATTAATTTATAAAAATTGAAAGTCGAATGAAACGCCATGTATATACATAAGAAGAAAAAGAAGTACTTTACCTTAGTATTAGTGGAAGAATGAAAAATGTCTGTCTCAATGAGGAGAAAAACCTGCAAATCATGAAACAAATTGTAGATTTAACATGCTCCTGAACTGTATATCCATTAGGTATGCGCGAAAATATCTCTATTGTTTGGAATAGAGCGCGTAATTTACCGTAAAACAGTCCATATAGTTCATTGTTTTCAACAGTTCGTTTTTGATTAGGTTTTTCACCTCGAACATATATCATGTTCTAAAAGAGTTCATTTCGATCGATGTTCAATACAGTCCATATTCATGATTTTAACGTTTCCAGAGTCCGTTACCATAGTTCAACTGTTTTCAATTGAGATTATTGTCTTTTCATAATGTTTTTGATTATTTCGGCTTGTCAGCAATTTGCTACTTCAATCGTTGTTCCGGCAATTTGAATCTCCCCGACGTTCGTAAATTGGTCGAATTTGATTTTCGCACGTTTTGTAGAGACGGTTTCTCGGCACTTGTTGAAAGCTTCTGCTTGGTCAGCTTTTTGGTTGATTCCGTCCAATTGTTGCTTGTCCTGGTTGTTGTCCGTTGATCTGGTCCGTTACAGAAGGTTAGTTCAAGTCGGTTTTGTCACCATTTATAGCATGTATGATTGTTAGATGAATGTGATGTTACCGTATATTGCTAATTTGTAGATTGTCTCAGAACTTGCAAGTCACCCGTTCACACTTCAGCTTCAACGCCCACGTGAATGAAGGAAACTTTAGAAAACTCTGTTTGATTTTATTCTCAGATTTCCACGATACACAGAATATAAATCTTATAACATTTATCCCTACTAGCTTTGAATGGTATTCATCATCTTCCCTCGAAAGATATCGGAGTAGTATTTATACGTTGATCATAAATCCAATTAAATACTGTAAACGTGAGCTCGTGATTCACGTTATAAACAGAAACTCCTATTATCTCAATAAGGGTAATTAGGTACATCGTACGGATGGGAACTTAGATATAATTATTTCAATCAGTGCCAAAGGTCTTGAGAATATAGATTTTAATTTGATAATGACTGGGTGGAACTTGTTATGTTCTTAAACCTGGTGTAATTTGATTCCTACGAAAGTCTTTGTTCGAATTTTGGGAAAAATTAACTTTGTTTTCATATTTTTAACATGAAATGGGGTACATTTGGGGGTTAGTTGCTATACTGTTACAGAAAGTCATGTGTTTATTTCAGTAATGCTAACCGGTTCGCTGATCTCATAAAGTTCGCGAGACGGTTCTATAGAACCGGTGCGAACCGGCTGAATCCCACCACTGTATGTACATGCATTTGCCGATACTAGTGTTTTTGTACCAGACCAATATTAGAACAAAAGTAATGATAATTTTAATGATGCGATGAATGGCTCACCTGTACGCCTAATCACAGTAACTAGAAGTTACAGGAACAATGACAATATTATTATAGCTGTCCATTAAATTTATTTGCAATTTTTGTATTACTGCATTCGAGTCAAATCGTAGGAAATGAATTAACTTCATTTTTACCAATTACTTTATCAATTGTTTTCTACACTGCCTTGATTTTGTTTTTTTTTGTGATAGGCAAATTCATTCAATATATTGTGGTTTGTGCTTGTCTTCTATGTTTTTATTATTTTCTATATAGCTTTTGTTCGACTTTGTTGAGTTTGCCTAACCCAGTTTCGTTCCAAAGTTTGTCTGTTCGGTTTGTTTGTTTACTGTACCAAAAAGGCTGAGAACTTACCGAAAAATTTTACAGAGGATATTTGGGATCTTGGATGCTGCTGAAGTCAATATCAATAGAATTTAATTCAAGAAACATTTTCTTTACTTAATTTTAGTAAGGGCCTGAGCCTCATCTTTTTCTGAATGAAGGAGAGAAAATAATTCAGATATTTCAGAATTAGAGAGAGAGAGAAGATAATGGTATACAATCTTTTTCACAGAGGAAATAGCACCAAGATATTTCATCAGCTTTAGATTATAGATTTTCCTATTGTTGGCCAAAGATATTGGCACATTTTA